ACAGCGCCATCTATACCAATACTTTTGTTTTCCCTCGGGAATATCATTTTTTACGGGATAAAAGGTTCTAACTTTACGTCTGCAAAAATTCAAAGCAATCGGTTTAGTAGTTACGGCGTGAAAGCGGAACAAACAAACAAACTCATTTTCCGATTTATAATATTAGTAAGGATTAGTATTAAAAGTACTTATTTCAAAAGGTTTTAGCGTCTATCAATCTTCTTTGTTCGACTTGTGAGTATTAAGTGACATAAAGCAAGCACTCTGCTTAATTGAGCAGTGTCAAGTGACGCGTTGGATATAAAGTTTCACGGATTGCTCCTCTTACGACCTCTTAGCGACTTATATAAGAATTTTCTTTCGATTTCATATTTTTCTTTTTATACGTAGGTATAGAAGAAGAAGAAAAATTGTTAGAAATCTAATTTATATTTTGTTTGATAAATTAAATTCAACTTGGGTATAATTATACGAAACCTTGTCTGATATGCTAGAGTATAAAAATAAAATAAAAATAAAGGAAAGACATCTATCTATATCTATTATATCATATCTATATCTATCTATATTTATTATATCATCTATATCTTCTTCTATTATATAAAGCGGAAGAGTTTGTTTTTTTGTTTGTTTGTTTGAACGCGCTAATCTCCGTAACTACAAGTCTGATTTGAATAATTCTTGTTGTGTTGGATAGCGCATTTATCAAGGATGGCTATAGGCTATAAAACATCACGCTACGACCAATAGGAGCTAAGCAGAGCGTGTGAAACCGCGCGGAAGTAGCTAGTCTGTGATAAATAAGTTAGTAGTTAGTTACTTAATTTTGAGTAGAAGAAAATAAAACAAATGAATGTACTTAACTAACAAACGTAGGTACATAACATATTATCAAAACGGGTCTTAATGGGCCAATTAAGACCGTTATTTTTTGCTGTTTACCTTTATTCGATAAAAATCCAGTATTTACTGCAGCGATAACTTTGAAACGATTTGTGTCGCTTAATTACTAACCATGGTTATTAGTTCTAATATACTTATCTGTATTTTTTTTTAATATTAACAATGTAGTTTCTTGCTCGTTCTTCCCTATACATACAGAGGCCTAAGTATAAGTTTGTTTTACAGTTAAAGTAATCGAAAAGAGACCACGTTTGCCGCTGTGATTGGTTGAATCATTGGAGCCGGCCAATCAGAGCACCGAATGCGGTATCGTTTCGGTTACTTGATACGTAAAACAAACTCGGACTTAGCCCTCAGACCACTTGTTTAAATTCAGCAATGATTACCAAAAATGGGTTTGGGACCCAACAACATAACCAGTGAAAATTGAGTGTTAAATTCTATATTTATGTGTTTTTGTTTATAGGATAAGCCAATTACCGAGCGGACGGATCACCTGAAGGTAAGCAATGGGCGCCGCCCATGGACATCTGAAACACCAGAGGCGTGTCAGGCCTCCGGTAACCTCACTCAGATGACGAAACACAACCCAAGCGTTAATTCACGTCGGTTTTCTGTGAGGCCGTGGTATCACTCCGGTCGAGCTGGCCCATACGTGCCGAAACATGGTTCTACGACAGTTTATAATAATTTGTATACTTTTGTAATAGTTAGAAGAACGTGACGTCACGTATGATTCTGTGATCGTTTTGCATATACATATTTGTGAATAATATAATATTATTATGTTACGCACTCATTTAAGTACGTATGTCTGCTGCGCAACAGACTGACGTACCTACGTACCTACTTCAAAACATTACAAGGCCATCATCATTGATATCTAAAACTTTGTAGTAGGTAGGATGTATTTCATTTCTTGATAAAATCTTTACACTTAATTATTATTTACAATACGTTTGACTGCAGTGGCTGAGTGAGTACCGGTTACCTATTTATAACACTTCGTCACACTTCGTTTCCCACACGAAACAAATTTTGTGTTAGGTACCTATTTACAAATTGTTGGTTGATATGTACTTGATGTATACTGTGTAAGCGTCTGTTAATACATAAGTACGTGCCGTAGATGTAAAACATACAAAATAGCCTAAGGTTTATACTACAAAACATAATTTTGCTAGTTAAGACTCAACACGAAGGGTAAAGACTAAAAAGGTATGTAAAACTACTAGTCTATTCTGTAAGATTCGAATCGAAGTCTCGAAGTGAGCTCGATCGCGGTTTCCCGTGTCATTGGTTACGAAAATAATCTCGACCAATGACGTACGAGAATGGAATCGAGCTCACTTCGAGGGTTCGAATTGACATCTTATAGCCCAGGAATTAAAGACTACGATACTGTGAGGGTCAAAGTTTCAAATTCATTCTAAACTAATAACTGAATGTTTTCTAATTATTATGTCTCACGAAAGTTATAATATTATAAAACTGAAAAAAAAGAACGAAAACTTTCTAGTTCATTTTTGGTTACGACCATGTATTATTATATAAGTGTTAATGACAACGACCTCGACGTATTGATGAGACAAAATAGAATAGAATGAGACAAATAACGTCAGCAAAATGCTAATGATTAACAAGGTCAAGATTGAGAATCCTATTGTCCTAGTATGGTGGCGTTATCCTTAGGTGTGAGAGAGCCATGCTTCGGCACGAATAGGCCAGTTCGACCGGAGTGATACCACGGCCTCACAAAAGACCGACATGAAACAACGCTTGCGTTGTGTTTCGGTGTGTGCGTGAGGTTACTGGAGGCCCAATTACCCCCTTCCTAGTCTCCCCAATTCCCGAATCCTCCACAATCCTCAAATTCCCAAAAGGTCGGTAACGTACGTGTAACGCCTTGGTGTTTCAGGTGTCCATGGGCGAGGCTAATTGCTTACCATCAGGTGATCCGTCTGCTGGTTTACCGGCTTATGTCATTAAAAAAAGGAAAAATAAGATGTTTAATTTAGTTGTTTATTGGTTAATTGCTTAGAGAATGAAGTGGGTTAAAAAGTAAGCGTTTATAAGATAATATACCTAGATTGATTTTGATTGACTGTCTTACTTACGAATAGTGGATCAACAGTAAACAGTCAACAAAATAACCTTTTGGACATAATATTGTAAGTTTCAGGTCTGAATCTACCGACCTAGTTTTCGGTGGATCTACTTTGAAGTTAAAAGCGAGTAAAGTTTCCGCCTAGATAGGTAAATGTGTTCCACCTTCGCAGCTTCGGTCACGTCTTAGCTCCACGACGGAATGAGACCGAACTAACCTCATTTTCACATGCACTTTCACATCGGGTTCGATTTTAAAACCTCTCACCTACTTTTAGTTTCAATATAAGTTTTTTAATTTATAGTTTCGTACCTGTATTGTATACATTTTTAACTTTATTAGATTGACTTATTGTAGGATACCTACCTTCTATATATATAAGTATATATATAAGTAGGCCAGAAGAGAGAACAGAGAACAGGGATGAGAGGACCTCTGTAAAATCTGAATTTCGGACAAAACTATAATTATGAATGACATAACTAAACCATCCCATCAGAATGCCGCGGAGAACCTAATGGGTTACCGGGGCTTCAGCTCGAAGTGCACGGGGTGGTTTTTAATCAGTAAGAGTCAAACTCTCCCTCCCGGCTCACCCAGGCGGGAGAAGTCATTCAATGGTTTCACACCGTTAAAAAAACAAACAAAAAATCCTGTCAGGATGACATAAGAGGGCTCTACTTAGCTCTATTACTTTGTAACAAGCAATTTTAAAATGCTATACTTACCAGTCTATTCGGAGCATATGCATATTTTACTAAGCAATTTTATAATAGTCGATAGAAAATTACAACATTTAAATTAATTTGATGTAGAACGATATTGTTACATTGCGTTCATAATTTTCAATACGTGTACTGTTGTTTTAAATTCGTAATGCAGACTTGCAGAGGTTCCAAACATTTAAGTTAAAGGTCGCGATTTCTAAAAAAAATATTCTAAAGCACGTGGTAAAGTCATGCTTTACTGTGCTGTATTTCGCCGTGTAAGTGAGGTTACCGGACGACTAATTGTCTAACGGCACCACACAAGTCCACACTTATTTCTTACTTGTTCACTTAAATGATGTTTTTTTAACGTTGCCCCTCACTAGAATTATCTCGTGGGTATGTTTACAAGCATACATTATCACAATATACACATGAAACCCAGACCTGAAATAATAATGTGTGGATCACACAAATAGTTGGCACCGTGCGGAAATCGAACCGGCTACACGTTGCGCGGCAGTTGGTTGCCCAGCCACCGCGACACCACCAACAAAATAATATGTGCGTATGCTTTTCTGTTCCCATGTGTGGCACGAGCATTTGAGCTATTTGCAAATATTTGAACACTCACTATTTGCGCTTTCCCGTTCCGTGTTCGCAATATTTGATGCATCAAAGGAACTTTGTTGAAACGTAGCCACTGAGAACATCTTGTGTCACACATAACCGTTCGCTGTGACGTTCGTGAGACGCACACGCATCGAAATATTTGAAAAATGTGTACCTACAAATATTTTCGAAATTTCATTTGCCAAGATACATGTTTGGTAATACAATTAAAAGTAGGTGTGATTCCAATTCTTAAATTTTATTAGGTAAGTAGGTACATAGTTCATTTTCGTTACAGGTCGACCTAATAAAATCGTGTTATAAATGTAGAGAACTAAGCAGTGTTTTAAGTGTGCCTTTTGAATGTCGTCATAATTATTATGGTCCTTAATAACTATGAAACGACGCTTGACTTTTATACGTATGTTCGTATTTACTACTAGGTAGGTCCTAGGTAGGTAGGTACTAAGTGCGATATTTAACATTTTTCCGCATATCATAAAGATTCTTACTATTTTCACTTCAAGCACATATTTTACCTACAACCATAATAAAAATATTTGTGCCAAATGTTCATAAACTCTGCTATAATGGCTTTTTACCTTTTTAATATCATCAATGATTTTTTTCCAATTCAGTTAACGGAGTGCCTCAAACAGGAAAGTCCCATTATGAGAATCTTATGTTATGGCATTGTTCTAATTTTAACAAGTTATTATTTTTACGATGTTTATTGTGATTCCGAAAAATCAGTGTTGGAAGAATTAGGAATCGATATTTTGGATTTTACAAAGGAATTTACAGCATTAATCGATTTTTATGTTGAAGCCCAGGAAGACCCTGCTGCCATTCAAGACAGTTACCTAAATATAACTGAACTTATAATTAAATACGATTACCCCGTACAAGAACATCGTGTACAGACAGACGATGGCTACATTCTGAAAATGATTAGGATCGAGAACAAAGGGCCACCAGTCTTCTTAATGCACGGTTTGCTGATGAGTGCTGACGACTGGCTCACTGCTGGGCTTAAAGATAGTTTAGCTTATCAGTTAGCGTCAGAGGGATACGATGTGTGGATGGGAAACGCTCGAGGAAATAAACACTCCCGGGAACACGTGAGCATTTCACCAGAAACTCTAGAATTTTGGGAATTTAGTTGGAATGAAATTGGAATTTATGACTTACCAGCAATGATAGACTACGTGATCAATACCACAAATAAAGAAAATTTGATGTACATAGGACATTCGCAAGGTACTACCGCGTTCTTCGTCATGTGTTCCGAAAAACCGGATTATAACAACAAAATTTCGAAAATGATCGCATTGTCACCTGCAGCCTGGATATTTCGTATGACAAGCCCATTAGTCAGGATGGTAGCTCCGTTTCATAAGTACCATCCAATTTTAACCCACATGTTACACATTTACGAAATCTTGCCGCGACCTATAAAAGAAAGTCTTTTTACAGAAATGCTGTTTTTGACAAAAACGCCAATATGTGAAATAGAGAATGGTTTAGCGTGTATCACAATTTTATTCATTTTTGGTGGATTTGACTATGAACAATTCAACATGGTGAACGCACCTGCAATATTTGGGCATGCACCATCTGGAGCCTCTATTTATCAATTTGTGCATTATTTACAAAATATGATGTCGGCGTCGTTTAGAAAATTTGATTATGGGGAACACAAAAATCTAGAAATGTATGGATCTACTGAACCTCCTACATATGCGGTGGACAATGTTACCGTACCCATTGCTCTATTTTACAGTGGCAACGACTGGCTTTCCGATGTCCAAGACGTCAAACAATTGGAAAATACTTTGCCTAACGTAATAGAATCCTACCGCGTACCTTTCAAAAAGTTCAATCATTTTGACTTTTTATGGTCCAGAAATGTGAAAGGATTAATTAATGACAAAATTTTACAATTACTTAGTTTAAGGACAATAATTTAAAATAAATAACATACAATGTTGATAAATAATTAAATGAAAATGCTTCCTTTACTTAGATATCTGGAGCAACATTTTAAACCTATCTAGAAAAGAACAATAACACAGGTCGCGAGTTCGCGTAGCACGTGAGCTTGCGAAGTTTCGTTGATTAACCACAACCACGGCCTACTCCATAATTACGTCTCGGTATTATAGTCCAATGACAAAATATCTATGTCGTGGACTCGTGGTACTGTCGTCAAATTAACAGACGTTTTGTCTTACCAGGTTTAACACAAACCGTTAGACATTACTACTAGAATCTATAAATAACTAGCTTTACTCAGACTGACTAGAAAAAACATATTTAATTATACCTAAGAATTAAATAACCTTTTTCTTTTAATATGAGAAAGTACAAGCCGAATCAAAGATGTTTGATATTACAACTAGGCAGATAATAATTCGACTAATTGAACAATCAGATGACGATACGTATAATAAGGAGTGTTAATGTTCAAATTAGTTGTTTACCCACCTTACCTTTGTCAACAAACCCTACTCAATCACATCAGAGCTATGTTACTTTCAAACGTGATACATTCAGTTAATACCAACTCCGAAACACTCTTCGGAGGTAATTAATTGCCAACCAACGCAAACGTCTACTTATGCAAATTAATCATAAACCACGTCGCGGAGAACCTAACGAGTAACCGGGGCTCCGGCTCGACGTGCAGGAGAAGGAACGGGGGGGTTTTTAGTCAGTAAGAGTCTGACACTCTCTCTCGCCTCACCCAGGTGGGAGCAGTCATTCGATGATTTTCCCCCCATAAGAAAAAAAAATCATAAACCACAAGTCTATGCATGACAGCCGCAGTGTCACAGTTGTGTTAACGTTTGTATTGGAAAACTGTCTGCACCGCTACACGCCAATTCCGTTCGCTGTCGATGTTTGATAAACTTTTCCTTCGCAACACATAGGTAGGTCGGTACTGTTATTGCAAACTAGCACAATAGCCCAGTAATAAAACAACAATAACGAACATGAGTATCGCATTCATAACACAAGCGCAACGCAACTCTGTTATGACTGTGACCATGCTAACTTCCTACCAACAGACCGACATACCTGTGAAATGTGTCTAAAATGGTTTATAATCAGCTAGAACTGTGTTTTCTATTCTGTACTTTCATTTTCATTCTACAAAAGTATCAAGTCTAACGACATAGGTAGGTACCTACCTCTATCTAAATATTTACCTAAATAGCGAGAAAATTGTAATTAAAGTGTAAACATGTTTAGTCTCACACCAAATTATATTACAACATTTAGATATCTACGAGTATTTTATAAAAAGAAGTTGAATATGATATAACTAATTATTAGTATTTAAGTGAACTAATCTGATCAGAAGAGAGGATACATTTAGGTATCTAAGTACCTATCCCACGGATGTAGATAAGAGCTGACTAAGGGACTCTCTCAACAGACACTAGACAGCAGCGCCCTCTGATAAACCTGGTAGGCTATTTTGTAACTTCCAATTCGAAAGATCGGACTGAATTCGATCGCAGTTCGTCATGTCATAGGTTATGAGAATAGTCTCGACAAATGACGGGCGAGAATTATAATTGACAGTTTCAGAATAACTTACTTAACAGAATTGCGAGCTCACTTTTAGACTGTAAACGGTTGTTCACAGTCTAAGTGGGTTCACTTGCCATATGTATAAGCACCGGCCTATATTATATACGAGTACCATAGGTCGGTGCTTATATGGCAAAACGTTACTTACAGGGTTTCGATGCGAAGTAATAATAATGCAATAGACTTCTGGAACATGATATCAACATGTCAAGTCCGCAGGTAGAGCCGAATCTTTGGGTTGTCAAAGAATAGAAAAAAAAATACATGACCCGTAATAATGAGTAATTGGCAAAAAAGACAGGCTTAGGCATTCTCTTCCTGAACTATCTTAACATAGGGTCTATATACAAACGCCTAGATACTTAAAGATACGTAAAGTGAATAGGAAACCTATCCTAACTATATATATATATTATATATTCCGCAGGTAGAGCCGAATCTTTGGGTTGTCAAAGAATAGAAAAAAAAATACATGACCCGTAATAATGAGTAATTGGCAAAAAAGACAGGCTTAGGCATTCTCTTCCTAAACTATCTTAACATAGGGTCTATATACAAACGCCTAGATACTTAAAGATACGTAAAGTGAATAGGAAACCTATCCTAACTATATATATATATATTATATATATATATATAATATTATAAATGCGAAAGTAACTCTGTCTGTCTGTCTGTCTGCTACTCTTTCACGCCAAAACTACTGAACGGATTTAAATGAAATTTGGTATAAAAAGGTATGGTATGCAAAGAGGTTGACAGCAGTCTAAGGAGATAAAACCACGAATAAAATATTTTCAGTTTACTTGAATTCGTATTTTTTATATGTATATCAAAAAAACTAGCTAAATGCACATAGCTAAAAAATAATATTAGTCCTTTTCATTTTAGACCGTCAAGGCCAAATTCACTATGATAGTTTGCTGTTTGTTTATGGCATAAGCCGGTAAACGAGCAGACGGATCACCTGATGGTAAGCAATCTGCGCCGCCCATGGACACATGTAACACCAGAAGTGCTAGAAGTGCGTTACAGGTCTTTTGGGAATTGGTAATTTGAGGATTGTCAGGGATTGGGGGGGCTGGGGGAGGGGTAATTGGGCCTCCGGTAACCTCACTTACACAGCGAAACACTCCTTTAGGTAACCGAGGGCTCGGAGATCGGCCGGCCACCGGCCACCGTAAGTGCGGGTCTGTAGACGAAGAGCAAGGGTAGCTCGCCACCCGACCAGAACCAGTCCCGTGCATACGGCGCGCGCCTTACAGAGCCATGACACCATCATAGATGGAGCCCAGTAGGGCTGATGCTCGATACGGTGCCGCGGGAGGCCTAACGAGTTGACGGGGCTCCGGCTCGACGAGCAGGAGTAGGAACGGAGTGGATTTTAGTCAGTAAGAAACTGTCACTCCCTCTCACCTAACCCAAGGCGGGAGAAGTGATTGGATGATTTTTCGACCTCAAAAAAAATCTCCTTTAGGTAATGACAACCCGATGTGTGAAAAACTACCAAAAAAACTCCTTATATTATTGGTATTGATTACGCTGTGGAAATTATGGACAATAGAGCCAAGGGATGTATTAAGTCTTATAGAGTACATTAATATCAACATTAAAGTACATGTATCATATGTAACTAACCTAATATCAGAATACCTATTTTTTCATTTAAATGTTTGCGATAGTAACGCACGTCGCACCGGTACATATCAGGTCACATTATAGGAGAGAGGAAATCCCAAAATGACGGAAACTATGCGCTAAAAAACCAAGACCAAGGACGTTGAAATAAAGAGGGGCTCTTACCTTTTAAACCATTGAACCTATTTGGTGAAATTCGGTGCAGCGATAGTTTGAGACCCGGGAAAGGACATCTAAAAGTTTTTAACCCGAAAAACCTACGAAACCGGGAACTGTGCTGTTAAAATCACTATATCTATTTGATTGAAATGCGATACAACATTGATTTGCAAACATAGAATAGTGAAACCTCACGAGACGGGCACTATACGGGTAAAACCTCTATGGGATTGTTTATTTTAGAAACCACGAAAATAAATTCATTTCTCAATAAATATAACCTAGGTACTGAATCGATTGTGATGATATTTGTTCCAGTTGTACAGCCATAGAATATACCTTGACAAAGACTAATTTAAAAAACCCAATTTATACAGAAGTCGTTATTTCACGCGGACGAAGTCGCGGGTAACAGCTAGTAAATAATAAAACTAATTATGAGATATTAAACTGTCAAATACCAAGCGGTCACCGGTGACCGCGACCTATTATTCTTTAATTGTGTCTATAAAACCGGTACTCGACGAGTTAAGAGCTTCATTTAAAGCAGAAAAAGAAACATCGTTATCATTTAAAGCCCTTCTAAGAAATTTGCTACTTGAGAACTATGAAATGAAGTACCTATTACTTTCAAAGTAGTTATAGGTAATTCAAGTAAGTGATAACAAGAATGTAAAGACGAGTTAACTAGTGCCATTACTTTTACAAACTAGTTTGCTTCCATTTGTTATGAATTACTAAGTATCTACTTATTTAATTATAAAGAAGATGAAACTGTAATACATACTTTATACTCTATACTTTTTAATAAGTACGTCATTTTATTTTATTTCCCACTAGAGACCCGCCCCGGCTTCGCATGGGTGCAATGTGCTTGTATTATACAAATAAACCTTCCTTAAGAATCACTTTATCTAAATCGCATCAAAATCCATTACGTAGTTTTAAAGATCTAAGCATACATAGGGACAGACAGCGGGTAGCGACTTTGTTTTATACTATGTAGTGATAGACCTGAGCAAAAGGGCACAAATAAATGTTACGTCCTCGTCCACTCCTCTATTTTTCAGTCGCCTTTGTTCTGTTCTATCCAATGTCATGGAGCCTCACCACCTACAGACACATAGACACCCAGCAGTTACCGAATGTTTTTAAACTTGAAAAACCCTGTAACACATTTTCCGACTCAGAATCCATCATGCGAGCAGTTAAAACACGTACCTTTAGGTTCCTATTGTAATTGTAGACTTATCATAGGAAAGTTATTTTAAGCTTGCCTATCATGGAAACCTAATTTATTACCTAGACATTTATTTTCACATGAAGCACTTGAATAATATTATTCATTGGAGACCACAAGGCAAATTATCGCGGTAAACCACTGGACGACCCAGTGCCCAGTTCATTACATCAGCAATAGATTGATTACCTCCCGCAACGCAATATCTAAACTTGGCTTTTGTTTAGATTTCTACTTATTATTTGCTACTTATCAGAATTCAATGACGCAAATCCTACCAGTATGAATGTTTACGTATCAACCATACCAAGTATGAACCTATTAATTTACCTACTAATTTATAAAATGAAAATCTGGATATATACCTAGGCTCATATAAAAAGTATTTTTATATATGTATCATTCGACGAGTGTACGCAAGTGCGACTGCTGGGCAAGGGGTCTCGGGTTCGATTCCCGGGTCGGGCAAAGTATTACTGGGTTTTTAAAAAAAATCTCAATAGTAGCACGGAGTCTGGAATTGTGTCCGGTTATGGCAATAGGTTCACCCCCTATTACATGGGACTCATAACATAAATAGTGAAAAGTGGGTGTTACATTGTACAATGGCATAATGTGCACCTCTACCAGCCCCTTCGGGGATAAAAGGCGTGTTGTTATGTTATTATGTTATGTATCATTGCTATGGATGTTGTCACCGCCACGTTAAACCCATTCCGTGTTTAAAACAGACATTTATGGATTCCTATGTTTTATGAGGGTAGACTGATTTTTTTTTTATATTGTGTCATTATGAGTTACTGACTTATTTTCATTGCTATTGATCTACCCCTATCCCGACAGTACATTTATAAATAACCATCGCTACGTCTTAATGAAGTGTAACAATGATTAATAAATATTTACATAATTTTTATAAATATTGCTCGTTCACATCGAATGTGAGAGTGCTCAGTCTAACGTTTGCGAACGCTCGAACAAGATCATTGAATGTTGCGAACGTTTCCATCTGTCAGTGTCAATTAACCAACGTCTTAACGTCAAGATACATGTCGGTAAAGTTCACAATGGGTTATCAACAGTGATAAAAGTGAACCTATGTTTGCGCAAATAAAAACATATTATATAGTGTAATCGAGTGAATAGTTGGTTTTTAATATACTATTATGTCCAACATACTAGTTAAAACGTGTTTAAATTCCTTACCTCCAAAATTTAGCAGATTTTGTTCATATCGTTTTGTGAGTCCGGTGCATGCTGTTTATGGAAAAATAAACTCTGAGGTATTTAAATTGCTATCAATTTGTTTTGCTACGTGCCACAACTATTAAGTGCACGTTACATGCTTTAAAACTTTTAAGTTTGTTAGGTTAACTTCAGTTCTATATAGTTGATTGTGAGACGATCATATTTTTATAATTATTTTGATTAAATCTACATTCCGTGAGTACATTGTACAGCTTTATAATTTGTCTGTATAATTTTAAGTGTATGATTTGTATTTAAACATTTGTTAAAGTGTAGCACTTGTGTGCAGTAGCTCTTGAGAGAACACAACCAACTTTTGTTTTTGATTACATTATCTAGTTATCAGTTTGAGGTCAGTGTTTCTCCTTTATAATACACTTAATGTTTAGATAATGTTCAGTTTGTTTTCATAACTTGTAAGGTTACAGTGTCTTTAAAAATAAATATTTATTAAAATTATTATAAATTAAGTTTAAAAAGAACTGTTTTATAATAGCTGTGATAATATTACAGAATTCTTTTTTGAAAAGAAATCTACATAGCTCTTCCATCATGAGTAACTCGATCCTCAATGGTAATTTGTGGGACACTGACCCCGAGCTTTATGCCATCATCAAAAATGAGAAGGAGCGTCAGAGAGCTGGACTTGAGATGATTGCTTCTGAAAACTTCACATCTATTCCCGTCCTACAATGTCTGAGCACATGCCTTCACAACAAATATTCCGAGGGCATGCCCAACCAAAGGTAAAACTACATAGACTAAAGTTTTATTGTTTTTTTTCATGATGTCACAAATAAAAAGAACTTTACATTGTCATTGAAGACATTTATCAATAAATACATGAAGAAATAAAATAAATTTAAATTTATAAACTTTATTCAAGCTTTTATGTAGGTAAGCATTTATGGTCATGCAAACTAAATGTGTACACAAAATTTCAACCCAATTGATCGAAGATATCTGCTACAATTAATTAACTAGTTGCAAGATCTCACTTCACACACATACTTGTAAAAATCTATTTATTATTAATTTCAATATCTTTTATAATTGCAGGTATTATGGAGGTAATGAATACATTGATGAAATTGAACTTCTGGCACAAAAGAGGTCTCTTGAGGCTTACAGGCTAAATGCAGAAGAATGGGGAGTCAATGTGCAACCATATTCAGGTATTTTTTTTAATTTTAATGTTACACTTCTAGTAAATTAATTCTTATCTGATTTTCTTTTTTTTCTTATAAGTCTTGTTTAAAATGAAATTGAAATTGTTGCTTGAATCAGATTCCATGTTCAAAAATTAATTAAAATTCCCATTAAAAGAGGCATTAAATATTTTCATGACTAAATTATCATCTTTGCCTTCACACTAAGAGTTTACAAAAATTTTCCAGGTTCTCCAGCCAATTTTGCAGTATACACCGGTGTAGTGGAACCTCATGGCAGAATCATGGGATTGGACTTACCTGATGGTGGCCATCTTACTCATGGATTCTTTACAGCAACCAAGAAAATATCTGCCACATCTATTTTCTTCGAAAGTATGCCATACAAGGTAAGTAATATAATAAATTGCCCCTTTTTACGTACATACATACATAGGAGTGATGTTCACCCCTTTTTATGTCATATAGGAATAGACAAAGATGTGCATAATACCCACTGTTCACCAGCGTCCCTGCTTTCATAGTACGATTTCGTAAATTGATTTGCTATACCAGTATCGCAACCATAAAATATTACTGCAATACAATATTATAGCGCAGTAAGAAATGAATGATTAAAACTCAGCCTTCAGTATTCAATATCGGCGGGTCGACTCGAGTTGCGCAATCATTTATACTTTCAGTTTCTATTTAATGAAATCATGCTATAGGTACCTATATCAAACGATTCTTGTTATTTGCACTGATAAGCAAATATAAGCAAGAGTCGGCGGTCACACCCGCTTGACGTAATCTGAACAAACATTTCCCTCGATCATAAATAAGTTACTTTGACCCATGAACTCAGCGCAGTTCAATTGATGTTTGCGTTCGACAGATAAAAATAACGTAATGATATGACCCTGGAATATGAGGACAGATAATTGTAATGACTTGTTCAAGACAATAGAGAATATTAAAAGAACTTGTAATATTCTTAGAATTTAGCTTGCGATTATTATAGCACTGTGAAAACGTTGATAAGAATATGAATAAAATTAACGTTATAATTACTTCATTACATAAGATTGTTGTAACGTTGTAATGTGTTTACGTGAGTAAAAGATCTTAACTTAGGTACCTAATAAGAGCCGTGTTAGACAGTTAGCACAGTTTAAAGGGTGACTGGCTGCTGTGCAACTTGTCGCGGGTTCGATATCCGCATCGGACAAAAAAGTCAAAAAATGGCAATAGTATTCCTAAAGTTCGGCGGTGTTTTACCCCCGTGCCTTGGAAAGCACATAAAGCCCGGACCTGCGTCTGACCTCTCTTCGATTGTGTCGGTCTGCCGTCTCATCTCGCTCAGAGAGTGAAGGAACAGAGAGTGCACACACTTTTGCACTATAATATACTCCTGTGTAGTGGGCTAGTGTAGTTAGCCTAGCCAGCATGATCGAAATGAGAAGAAAGGAGGCTTTATTATTTAAGAGCCGTGTTCTAAACACTAAATTATTGTTATAGGTGGACCCTAAGACTGGTTTTATAGACTATGACAAACTGGCCGAAACTGCGAGGCTGTTCAAGCCTCGTTTGATCATCGCCGGTATTAGTTGCTACTCTCGCTGCTTGGACTACAAACGGTTCCGCCAGATTGCTGATGAAAATGGCGCCTACTTGATGGCTGATATGGCACATATCTCTGGACTTGTAGCTGCAGGTAATCTCACAGCATATTCTATTTAGTTTTTAATAACGAATCACCTGGTGCCCCTGGTGGCAATCGACGTCGCCTATTGACATTCGCAACCCCAGAGTACCAGCCAGCCTTTTGGGGAGTTTAGTAAAAACCATCTTAAAAATTTCAAACAAAGTTCTTTAGCCTTATAGATCTGACTAGTGCAATGAATATATAAGAGTTCAAAATAATAAGAATTGCCGCTTACCTCCATCATCAAGTTTTATGTGTTGTTTATTATTTTTGTCTATAATATTATCAATCGCATTTCCAGGTGTCATCCCTAGTCCGTTTGAATACTGTGATATTGTGACAACGACAACTCACAAGACACTGCGTGGTCCCCGCGCGGGAGTTATCTTCTACCGCAAGGGTGTTCGCTCCGTGAAGGCTAATGGCCAGAAAGTCATGTACGACATCGAAAGCAAGATCAACCAGTCAGTGTTCCCTGGACTACAGGGAGGACCACACAACCATGCTATCGCCGCCATCGCCACTGCAATGAAGCAAGCTACAACCACTGAATTTGTTGAATACCAAAAGCAGGTGGGTTCTTGATCATTTTATTTACCTTTATGGTTTCACGATATCGATCAAGTTCAGACAAAAATATTTAGATTATTAACCAAAACATCGATTCTATTTTTAAAGAATCTCTTAAAGGTTTAATTATTTTTAAATAAAGTGTTTTGTTTTTTTTATCAGGTCGTGAAGAACGCTCAACAGCTATGTAAAGGTTTGATGGCTCGTGGTTACGCTATCGCGACCGGTGGCACAGAAGTCCACTTGATCCTGGTAGACATGCGCAGCGTTGGGCTTACGGGAGCTCCCGCCGAGCGCATCCTGGAACTGTGCAGCATCGCTTGTAACAAGAACACGGTACCTGGCGACAAATCCGCGCTCCATCCTAGCGGCATTAGGCTCGGTAAGATAATTAGATACACCATATATTTGAATAAAATTGTGTTTTAAAATCTTCCTAAAATATTTTTGTCTTTGTGAAATGACCATAAGAAACATTTTGTAAACTCCATTTTTTTTTCTATTTTCAGGCACCCCTGCCCTTACCACTAGGGGCATGAAAGAAGCCGACATCGATAGAGTAGTAGACTTCATTGATAAAGCATTGAAACTTGCCCAAGAAATCACTAAAGTATCCGGCCCTAAAGTTGCTGACTTCAACAAAACTATTGAAGAAAGTGCAGACTTCAAGGCTAAAATCAAGAGTCTGAAGGAAGAAATTGAAAACTACAGTAGGTCGTTCCCCTTGCCTGGTTTCGAAACATACTAATTTATTGTACTACATTTCGTATTGTATTTTTTGCATTTAAATTTTGTTTTTGTTACACTCAACAATCCATATTGTTGTGTTTATTAAGTGCCTTAAATCGTCATCCATAAAATAGTATTTAAGAATCTCTCTCCTACTAAGTTTAATAAAATGTTGACATTATAGTTTGTTTCATTATTTCATATCATTGAATCCTGAGGTAATTGAGTGACTTGAATGAGTCCTTAAAGAGTTAAATGAAATTTTGTAGTTTTGTTATATGAAGTCAGTATACAAACCATATAAATGAATACCAATAAAACATTTCTAAAACATATAACTAAAAATAAACATAATGATGTATAGGGGATCCCAATTAATATCTTTAGTCGGTTACGACTAAACAATACGTTAGTAATGATAGGAGTTTTATGAAACGAGTAGAACATATAGGAAGAAGCAAGAATGTGGGTAGGAGTAGGAAACACGGGCTAATATAAAAGCGCAGTAAGCTATGTGCATCTATCTCCTTGGTCGGGTGGTCGCAAGTGCGACTGTCGGTGCATTAGTAGGATCTTAGTAACTTTTTACTATTTTTTTACCAATATTTTTTTTGCCTTGTTCGATTGCTAGTTAGTCTATTATACCTAAAAGTTTATACGTTATAGAGGTACGTTAGGCTTACCTCTAGTCTAGTATATCTTAAATGAAGTGGCTTGAGAGACGCTACGGCGTCCTCGCCTACCGCCTGACTCAGGTCCTCAACGGACATGGGAGCTTCGGGAGGTACCTGTTTCCGATAGGGCGGGAGGAAACGCCCGGAAGTCAGCACTGCGAGGACCGCCCTGAGGACACGGTGGAACACATAGTAGGGGAATGCCCTGCGTGCGTTGAGCACCGCCGTGCCCTCAGGGATGTGATCGGCGACAGCGACCTCTCGCGTCCGGCCCTAGTCCGGGTCATGATGCGGAGCGAGGGGGACTGGAATGCCATCTCCTCCTTTTGCGAAGCAGTCATGTTAGCTAAGAAGGAGGCGGGGCGCACAACCCAGCCGTCGCGAAGGATACTCCGGGCATTGGGGATCGCAGGATGATCACCGGCCTCCGTAAGCGCGGGCCTGCGGACGGCGAGTATGGGTGGCTCGCCGCCCGACCAGAACCAGACCCGAGCGTACGGCGCGTCGCGTTCCGCGTGCGCCTCAAAGAGCCATCAGACCACCACAGATGGGGCCCAATAGGGCTGATGCCGATACGGAGCCGTGGAGGACTTAACGGGTTGCCGGGGGTCCTGCTCGAAGGGCAGGAGTAGGATGATGTTACATTAAAAATGTGCACTGAACACCTCTGCGGCTACCCTCGAGCTCGAGGGAGTACCCTCGGGGGCTAAAGACGTGAAGTTATAAAAAATAATATAATATTTTCTTAGATAATCATGTTAATAAAAAAATATAATTATATTCCTTGTTTCAACATTTTATTGGTTTTGCTCAAAAACCAAAGAACCAAACACCAATTGGTGAATCACGAATTAGTCTATGGTAAACTTTTTTTATTCATTCGTTCTTTGACTGAAGTAAGGCTGTTGTCATTCATTCAAATTCATTCATATTTCGTGAAAATTGGGTTGTTTTTGTGTCGATATCGTAATTAAACGTAATTGAGAAAGCAATTAATAGGTGAAAATATAATGTTAAAACCGTTTAGACTGAGGATAGATCGAAAGAAATAAGTAAAATTAGTTGCAAGCACTATTATGCGGCGACCTTGCTTATAAGCACGTATGTTATTTTACTTGGCAGATTGAAGAAAAAGTGGATTATTTCTTGTTTTGATAAACAGAAAATTGTTCGTAATTCTAATGACTATGAATGTTTTGTGAAAGTTTACCTTGATGGATTACCAGAAGGGCTGAATTCAGCAGTATTATGTATAAACTTGTGTATGGATTAGACCACCTGGAGATCAGGCGAGTAACTCCGAACTCACCATGACTATGTATCCTTCATCTGGAATGGTAGCGACCCCACAACAAGGGACTAGTCCAATCACTCAAAATGGAAGTACTACATTACCTCGGTCACACCATCAAAGGACAGGTAAACATTGCACATAAATAGAACAAGTGTTTCTGCCACTTAGTTAATGTTAAAATGATTTTGCTAATAATTAAGTAACGGCTCCTTGAACAAATTATATGTATCAACACATATATTCCTATTATTTAATATGCCTCTAAAACCTTCACAAATGAAGAGAATCTAATATTGAACTCACTAAAAAGTTCTACTTTCAAATTGGCTTAAATAGGACATGGTACTAACTGTAATGTCAAAAATTATGTATCTGTTTCCTTCTCAGCAAATATCTCATACTGATTCAATTCAAATACAGTTTTAATAGAGATCTTGTCTCACTATTAAGTTCATTAAAGAAATACCAGTTTATTAGACACTATGAAAGTTTAAACTCCATTCAGTTTGTTTAGAGTTTTTGATTATACAAAGATTTTTTTACAAATTCCAGGACGGCCACCTGCAGCTCCAAAATCCTATGACTACTTACTAAAGGTACTTTTGGTTGGAGACTCAGATGTAGGTAAACAAGAAATCCTTCAGGATCTTGAGGATGGCTCGGCCGACTCACCATTTTGTAGTGGCAGTGGTAAGCTAATACAATAATTGTTACCTATTCACATACAAATATGCTATTGTTTTGATGCTAATCTGGTTGTAGTCACATGCCCTATTGAATAAAATTATTATGGCTCTGTGCCATAACTGATGCTTAATACGATGTCAATTGTGTATATTATAGTGCACTAATAAATTGATTGAAATTAGTTCTTTGAAAGAAAGTAACTTATATGATATTCCAAGCTTAAACTAATGTGTGTGCTACATAATGATCTAATTCCTTTAGTCACATTTAGTGTGGTTGAATAACAAACAACCCAAATCTGGGCCTCTAGCCAAATGCAACTTTAGCGCTTGTCTACAGTGAGAGTAGATATCAAAATGTATGGGGATGACACTGACAAGTGTCAAAATTTACGTCAATTCCATATAATTTGGTTTTCTATTCTACATGTAGACAAGCGCTAAATGGCATTTGGCTAGCACTGCAGATCACTATAGACTTTAATTCGTGTCTGTATAATATTAAGCTGGATATTGATAATGAAAATATCCATTAATAGTTACTGGTGATGTAAGGTTATCCATTTATTTATATCACCTCGATAGTGCTATAAAAACAATTATTATCAATTATTCACACATAAGTTTATTGCTTCATGCTAATCTAATGTACAACCTTAGCAACATTTAAATACATGAATGGTTGTGTAGTATTAGGTATTTTATTACAGTATTTTGTAGCTAACATCATAGAGAATTTTGATTCATAAGTTTTTACCTCTCCAAAACCATTTCCTCTTATTTATTTAGAAAAGATTATTTTTAATTAAGTTTTTGACTATCACGATGCGTAATATGCCTATAGCCTTAGGGCTACTTAGGTATAGTTAGTTAATAAAGTCATATTTTCCATGTATTCTGCCGTTGGTGGTGTTGCGAGTAGTTTTTAATTTAACCTCCATTGTGGTTAAAAGCTAATAAGGTTAACATTTCTAGGTATATTTGTAAAATTTCAGAATAACATACTTATTGTATATACTGAATTAATATACAAAAGTATTTACTCACTGCAATGAGGAATAATTTGATAATATTAATGACTAAAATCAATTTATTCATGTTCGTTTTTAAAATAATACAATCATTTCCCATTTTAATTGTAAATAAAAAGAAGCCATCAATTCAAGTTTGGTATTATCGATAGGAATGTAAATCACTCTATATGAGCAATTTTGCACACAACATACATTATTATACTAAATGCGAAAGTTTATTATGATGTATGAATGCATCTTTCACTCAACTGCTACAGAATTAATCTGAATATTTGGCATAGGCTATGGTCTGGAATAACATAATTGTTCACTCCGGTAACACAGGGAAATTCCTTACAGAAAATAGTTGGTCCTTATAATTATTATTGTGTAATGTTTTGCTAATTGTACTTTGTAAACAAACCATTCTTTAGACATCTGTTTATCTTCCTATGTTACATATAACAATCAACTGGATAACAAATTGGTAATAAGGTCTTGTGTAAAAACTGTTTATGATAATTATACTTTTTAAATATACAGGGTGCTGTATATGTAAGCACTTTCTTACTCCAATAAAACTGGCCTTAAGCTTTTGTTTTAAAAAATATCAAAATTGGTTGAGCAGTTTTGACATAAGAAACATGAGGTGTAATAACGATAAAACACTTGCACATTTTAATATTTTAAATCCAAATACACATTATTTGCCGCGGAAGGCCTAACGGGTTGCCGGGGCTCCATCTCGAAGAGCAGGAGTAGGAACGGGGTGGTTATTTTTTGTCTTCAGTAAGTCTGACACTCCCTCTCGCCCAATGATGATGATGAGGGATGATTCCCCCCCCCCCTCAAAAAAACAATATACATATTATTTCTATAAACTTCTTTCATTAAGATTATTATTATATTCCAGCCTATAAAACGACAACAATCCTGTTGGATGGAAAGAGAGTGAAACTTCAGCTATGGGATACTTCAGGACAGGGGCGATTCTGTACCATAATACGATCCTACTCCCGCGGGGCGCAAGGCATTCTTCTTGTTTATGACATCACCAACAAGTGGTCCTTTGACAGCATTGACAGGTGGCTTGAAGAAGTCGAAAAGGTATGTAAATGTATTTTACTATTAATATTTTTACACTCAAAGATAAATTATCATATCTTTACACAATCACTCAACCCAAATGGTGGAGTGAGTTCATGATTATAAGTCCCAATGTGGTTGAAAATAGTCGAGCTGATATTCGAAAATGCAACAATTTACAAGAGACACCATGCACTAACAAATTTGTCTGTTTCTCATTCTAGCATGCACCAGGAGTTCCGAAGGTCCTCGTGGGTAATCGTTTACACCTCGCTTTCAAACGACAAGTACAGGAACGGGACGCGGAACTATATGCCGCCAAGAACCACATGGCGTTTTTTGAAGTGAGCCCCTTGTGTGACTTCAACATCAGAGAGAGTTTCTGTGAACTGTCGCGGATGGCGCTACATCGAAATGGCATGGAGAGACTATGGAGAAGCAATAAAGGTATTTATTTAGTGATTTTGATGGGTATTTTGTTTAAAATAGAAGGCTTCTCATAAAGGCAACAATTTCGTTAATCATCATAATTATTACTTTACTAAAATTTGTTCATTTTTGTTGTAGTACTCAGCCTCCAAGAGCTATGTTGCCGTGCAATAGTAGCACGTACATCGGTGTACGGGTTGGAGAGGCTCCCTTTGCCGACGGCGCTGAAGTCCCACCTCAAGTCGTACGCGATCTCTGCCGCGCCCAGTCGGCATCGAGCGCGAGCACATAAACACTCGCATCACACGCGACTCAACTGTACCGGCCGTAACTCCTGCAACATCGCCTGAGACTCCCGACTGATCGCCGGAACTGCGACGCCTATCACATATGACTTTATAAATGTGGCTAACTCTTCATCGGTATTGGCAACCATTCAAATCATTTTGTTACATTACTAAATTATAACATTTCCCACTCAGTATTTTTATAGTAGTCCCTAATCTCTAATCTTTCTTGTAATGTAAAGATTACTCTATCCATCTAGTTTTTTTTCTAGATAAATACTACAGTCGCAAGTGATGATCCTGCCAATAATTTACTTACGAATCTCATGTTAAAAGAGACGCGAAGATGTTAGGAATCGACGCCACATTTACGATAATCTGTTTTGACTGCCAACGGTAATCATTAAGAATATAAATAGAGATGATAGAACATAGAGAGTTGTCCTAACAATTGTCACGAAGTTTGACTACATTATAATTAAAACTTCGAACAATATATTGTCCAATCACTGAGTAATCCTAACACAAAATACAGGCTGTAACTGACAACGGATTTGTGACTAATTTTAGAGAACTAGGCTAAGATATTGTTACTTAACAGAATACAATGTGAATATTGCGTTATTTAATTGTAATATGTGAATATTTTGACGTGGCATCCTAGCCCTATGTTTGTCCATTGTGTAATACCTATATTAACTTTATATCGACTAACATTATTAGTGCCTAGTGATATAATATGACTATTGTTATACTGTGGTGATATAATTAAATAAGAAGTATACAACATGAGTGCCATCAACACACCGGCACCTTCATACACAAATGTCTGTGAATGTGTCAACACTAACCTCTTTGTTAGGTCGTGGGTGGTCACGGAATATTTAAAGACATGCTATTATATCCAAGTAAAAGTGACATCGTTACAATTTCTTGAAGTATGTTACATAAGTACAGTTTTTTCTATTTCAATTTATGTAATTTAAAATCAGTCTTGGATAATATAACTTTCGAATTGTACAAGTATCTTATTGTCCATTATTTGTAAGGTATTATACTTCTTAAGGTCTCATAACGTGTAAATATTTGGCTATATTTGTATCAACTACGAGAGTTCACTGCATACCAAATGTTCATTCTAAATTATATCGTAAATATATTGGCTATTTTCAGATATAAATATTATATTATTTACTGTAACTTATTATTTAGGATATTAGTCAACGTAATTGCTACATTTCAATTATGATACCTATATATCAATAGTAGATGGTTGTATATGTTTATAGCTAGCTTACTTTGCATTTAATTTTGTTTTCGTCACGTCCCCTACACGTCAACAACGAAAACAGTTTCAATCAGTACTTGTTTAGTCCAATCCGTCCTTAGAAATAATTCAATCCTTGCGGAATTCAACATCGATTTGTTGAACTACTGGGCCTCTAGCCAAAAGCCACTTTAGCGCTTGTCTACAGTGAGAGTAGAAATCAAAATGTATGGGGATGACACTGACAAGTGTCAAAATTTACGTCAATTCCATATAATTTGGTTTTCTACTCTACATGTAGACAAGCGCTAAATGGCATTTGGCTAGCACTGCTGTTTACATCAAAAGTTTTATTTTGACGAGTTACCAAAACGCCACATTGCATCAGTATTGTAATCGAAATCATAAAATATCGAGATTTCGTTATTTTTTACAGAAGCATGTTTTAATTCCTTATAATCAAATTGTTTCTACATTATATGTACCATACAGTAATCATAGCAATCAAAAATATTTTTTTACATTTAAGAAAATGAAGTGACGTGATTATTCTTTTGTAAATATACATATTTGTTTCTATAATGAGTTACTTTATGATTTGTCTACTTGTGATAGCTATAGTGGATAATATAACAATCCAAATAAACTAATACCGACTAAAAGTTTGGTTTAGGTTGATTACAGTCATAATTTTATTATTGCTATTATTATTATTCATTACGTAAGTCTTGAAATAAAACTAATTTATAAAAAAAAATGCATTTTCTTTATCCTATTTCTCGTGTTTGTATAACCTACGACAAATACATGCGCATTACGCACAAGGCACAAAAAATAAATCAATAGAATCCAACATGCGCGCCTCGCGCCAAACGTTATGTAGTTTCTGACTTGGGCTATGTCCAAACAATGTTTGTAATTCTTACTGGCAATGGTTTAGTGGCAAAATAATACAAATGTTTGATAGAACTAAGCAATGTAATCTTTCACACAAAATGATGATTCGCCTAAACAATTTTTTGTACGTTTTCAATTTACGACAGGGCACAATTCTAATTGCCGTCCATCAAATCGTGAGTATGACGATTATTTTTCTTTGTAGTGGCTATTAACTTAAACATAACTTGGACTTGGAGACTGTGGAAGTAATGATTTGTTTTTCGCAGGCATTATCATCTTTCATATTAATAATATTGCTAGTTGGTATATCCCATGTCGGGGAAATGCTGTCAATGTTGCACAACGACATGGAAGACGATGCCGACAGACGCGGACTGTATGAAATGGCTTACGGGGATCATTTCAGCTACCATAATGGAGAAGTGATAAGCACAAACAACCAGCGTAGATTTGCAAAAGCACGACATTTGGCATCAGGTTATTTCATTTGATATTTTACCCAATAACAATTTAATAAATTTAAGTTGTATGTGCCTAACTTGTAGAACAAATATGTAGTAACTTTCCATTATAAAAAGTAGGAAACGGAGTAAAAGGAAGTATTCAATAAGACTTACCTACCCACCAGTCCTAATTTACTTGCAGGGGTCAACAACCGCCGTCCATTAACAATATTGTTAAACATTTCAGTGACCGTGATATTTCTGTATACAAGCACGATGCTGACATCGATTTACCTGATGTGTTGCATCTCGTTGCTTCACGGCGCAGTCAAGTACAAGCGCGAGTATGTACTGCCTTGGATCATGGCGGCTTGCATCGGGGTAGTCCTGCTTATTGTGGCCATCATTGTTGGAGACGGCTACCCGTGTGTTGTTAACCTATTTGGAGGTCACAATCTCTATCGTAAGTATAATCCGTGGCTATGTTACCTATTAGGTATATTACAAAGCAGCAAAGCTGCCTCGTTGGCCAAATGGTCGCAAGTGCAACTACCGGTCAAGGGGTCTCGGGTTCGATACCCGGGTTGGGCAAAGTGTTACTGGGTTTTTTAAAAATTCTCAGTAGTAGCACGGAGTCTGAAATTGTGCACGGTATATGGCAATAGGTTCATCCCCTATTACATGGGACTCGTAACATCAATAGTGAAAAGCGGATGTTACATTGCACCTACAGTGGCACAATGTGCACCTCTGCCTAACCCTTCGAGGATAAAAGGGGTGTTACAAGTTACGTTATGTTATATTACAAAGCCATATGTGGCCAGTATGGCCTGCCTGACCTTTGTTTAGTCCAACTTTGCAATCTTTTACTACTACGTCGTTCTTTATTTCAGTCATAAAATTCTATCCAATGATCAATTTTGTACATGTGTAACTGTCGATGAGATCGACTGTTACCGCTCGACTCCCTTCCTTCCTCCTATCTAAAAAGTTAATGAGACATTGAATAAAAAAATAATCTCTAGGATAATGAAAATCGACTATGATATCGGACTTGGTTCATCTTGTTTGTCTAAATAATTTGCCTATAGCCTGTGACTGCTTGTGACCCACTAACTAAATCCTAATCATAATAATTATAGTAGGCTGAAAGAGCAACAAGACTTGTATATGTGACGATCAGTATGATTACATTGATTACTATTATTTCATTAAAAATTATAATTTATTAGCCTGGGTGGGAAGTTTAGTACAATAGATTTTACTACTGTGAAGGAAAATAAAAAAACATCTATCAGCGTAATTAGTAAATTGTTTATTTTTTCTTTCAGATTTCGGCTGCGCACTATTCGTATTAACTTTTATCTACGCTATATGTGCTGTGAGCAGTTTTGCCTTAGAGACTGGTAGTGGAAGATGTGCTCGCAACGTTCGAGCTGCCAGCGACGAGAGAGGCGAGCGTCTTCTCCTTCTGGACTATGCTGCGCACTCCAGCTTGTTATCTGCCGCACAACTCAACAAACTAAATAGTGGAACTCGAACACATTTTGTCTAGAAGCCTCCACTATTTACCTAATAATCCATATGGCTGCTACATACTTCATACTTAGCTAATAGTCACGCACCCTGCTATTTGCAAAGTTAGATCATAAAGTCACGTAAACTGTTAACTCGATAATAGTTGTTAATTACTATAGTAGTTTGTAATGCTTTAAAGACTTCAAAAAGCAGGAAGTTATGAATTCGTCGTGTTAGTGTCCCCTTACACGTGTGCACCAAATTCTCCAAGATTACCTGCTCCTGTTTTCTTTTACAACTTGAGGAGACTTACGCAACAATTACTAGGTCGTGCAGTCGTGCTAGAACATAGTTCTTAGACTTACTTCAAAATGTTTACATTTATGTATGAAACTGCTAGAAAGTTAAAATTAAAAATACTAAACTCATTTAATATATGTACCTTCGAGACATGAATCACAAATGGAGGACAGTAAGTGCGATACCTTTGCCTACACCTTTACGGAAAAAATAATGTGATTGTCAATTAAGAATTGTAATACCAAACCACAAACCGTTTGTCGATTCTGTGGTTTATAGTTTTCTTTTAAAGATAAATTGTACTTATTAATGTTTTAAAGTTAACTGCTTTGCGACTGTAATGTGTTACAGTTTTAAACACAAAGAAACTCCTTGGAAAGTTGATATTAATTTTGAATGTGATTTGTTATTTACAGAGTAGGTACAGATTTATGCACAAACCAAGTGGTGTGTTGTGACTAAAAAAAAGCTTGAGGGTTTTGCCTGAATTTAACTGTTTCTTTGTATTTATAAACAAACAGGTCATGCATTGTAATCTATAAAAGAAATAGATTTCTAAATTTGTGATTGCTTAAGGCCAGTTAACGTCCGAAATTTTTGAAATAAGTAGCAAATGATTAGGTGTTGTTACTCTTTATCAAAAAATACTTGATGTGATATTATTTTATAAAAGTGACAAATTATTATTGTTAAGTAAATAATCAGAGATTATAACTGTAAATGTTGATTTAAATCTACTGTGAACATTAAATTAATACGACTTTGTTTTAAAAACCATGTAAATTTTAATGAATGATAGATATTTTAAGCATTACTCTATTAAAATGCTTCAGGAAATGTGCTATTATATGAAAAATAAACAAAACATTAATCTTTTAAGTGGTTGTTTCTTTTCTAATCATGGTAACCATATAACTAACAGACAATATCATAGATTAAAATTATTGCCTCATTAAGTCTTGAATATAAAACAAATATTTATCTACATGATGCTAATTACTGTACTATGAATTGATAACATTTACACTTAAACATAACTTGGAAGACTTAGTTTTTATACATGTACACTACATTATTATGGTGTGTTTACAAGTAACAAACAACAATACTTTGTTGAGACAAATACTTCATAAAACATTTCAGTATCTTCTTCACTTTGTATGCAGTCATTCTGTTACTACAGCTCACATCAAAACATTCATTGTATTATGCAGTAGCTCAGTTTATGTACTGACCATGTTCTTCAGTTATTCTCCCCATCTTCCATTCCTCAATGGTCTTTGTATGCCTCTGAATCCTCGAGCCAATATGAACTTTTCTGAAGACTCAGATCGACTAGCCATTGGCTTCATTATCTTAATGTGTTTATAGAATCTTTGTAAATCCATCTCTAATATAGGGACTTCCTTTCCATCCCAAACTTTGAATAGCAGGTTACCATCCACTTTACTGACTAGAGCTGCAAATCTTATAGCCATGTAACAAAGGCCTATTATCCTGTCTTTGTCCAGTTCCTTCACTCCTGTGGCACTAGGGGCCATGTCAGACAGAACCACATCCACTTTTGTGCCATCTAGTGCTGCTATTACTCTATCATGAGCATCTATGGTGGAAAAATCCATGTTACTCATAATGGATGCTCCCTGTTGAAAAAATACATATTTCATTAAAACAAAAGTGGGAACAAGTTATATTTAGAAGATATCTTGATAATGTTATTGTAGCTCCAAAAATGCAGATTCATTGTTGGCAAGTAAAATAATGACTTAAGTCGAAAATAAATACCTCTATCGGAAATATCTGAAGCTTGTCAATAGCAAGAACTCGCCCCTTAGGTTGGGTTGGGTCAGCACCATCAGAGTTCGTTTTCTGAACTGCAACTTGTGTCCATGACCCTGGCGACGCACCAAGGTCAATAACTGTCAGGCCTGGAGTCAGTATGTTTGTTTTGTCGTTCATTTCTAATAGTTTGAAAGCACTGCGACATCTATAAACCAAGAGAATATTCGTTAGTATTTGGAAGCGAAAGTAAAAACAATGATATTATTATTGTTAATAAAAATCACCTGTAATTATAGATTTTTGCCTTTTCTACGTAAGGATCAGATTTTTGACGACTCAACCATTGTTGTGAACTCTTAAATCGTTTGAGGCAGTTAACGAGAAAACACATCTTCGTATAGGTTAAGGGCTTCGGCGCAAATGAGCGCGACAGCACCATTGTCCCTAATTTATAATATAGGTTTTCAACCACAAAGAGATAAACTATTTATAAACTTGTCATTTTACGTTAATTGTGTAAGCTGTGGTGTAAGTAATGAATTTATAACAATCATGTCATGAATATTCTATTGAAAAACAAGAAAATAGTAATGCCAGTGAATGACAGTGACACTTATGTCATTCGTCTCACAGCTGGTAGAGTAACCACATATTAACAAAATGACCAAAAAATAGCCATAGACTATTTAGTTACTTTAGTGAACAACTGGCTACTAACCACCCGATCTCCAATCATTGGCGAAAGGAATGCTTGTGCAGAATGATGACTGGGCAGCTTTAAATTGTGCAACGCTGGCAACATTCTCGACATACGTTCCTTAAACGTCAATTTCCAATTTCCATTGCAAAATTTTGGGCGGGAGTTATTGTTTATTTACGTTTTACGGATTGTAGATTACAAAGTCCGTTATAATTTGGAATAACTATAAAAGATTGGTATATTTATCAATGATAATGAGTGGAAGATGTTAATTAGATAGCAGAAGGATGTAAATCTGTTAAAATATGATTTATTTACTTCGACCAAAACATAACCTAAAGCATATTTACATTAATTTTATTAGAACATTGAGTCAGTGTACCATTGAAACAATGAAGTTTTTAAATGTAGCTGAGAAGAATGATGCAGCTAAGAATATAGCTCAACATTTATCACGAGGAACTTCTAGGAGAGTAAGTTCTTTCCAAGTCAGAATTAGGATTATAACTTGACTGTGGTCTTATGTTGTTATTCCAATTATTCAAAGTGTAAAATAATGATCATGATGTTTTTAGCGCGAGGGACTATCTCAATACAATAAAATTTATGAATTTGAAGCTGAAGTAATGGGTCAAAAATGTCAAATGGTGATGACATCAGTCTCTGGACACCTACTAGGACTTGAGTTTGTTGGTGCATATAAACATTGGCAGTCTTGCAACCCCCTAGCTTTGTTTGACGCACCTGTTTTCAAATACTGCCCTGAGAATTATGAAAAGATTAAGGTAAATACCTATTGCATCATTAATTAGATACAGTACAAATCAACATCTTATAAGTCTTATTCTAAGACATTATTCGGTATTTTAGATCCTCCTTCAAGAATGCTGTTCAAAAAGGTTTATTAAAAATCTTAGGTAGACGATTAGTATGAACTGTACATTTGTCTTTACATGTATAATATATTTACAGAAAACTTTAGAAAGAGAAGTGAGAAGTTGCACAGGACTAATCATCTGGACAGATTGTGACAGAGAAGGAGAGAACATTGGTTTCGAAATAATAGAAGTATGCACAGCAGTAAAGAGTAATCTTAGAATATTCCGGGCCAAATTCTCAGAGATAACTGGAGTGTCTGTTTGGAGGGCTCTGCAAAATCTAGAACAACCTAATAAGAACATTAGTGATGCTGTTGATGTAAGACAAGAACTTGATTTAAGAATAGGTAAAGTTTTATTTTTATATAAAAATATGAATAAGATTACATGCTATACATGAAAATTAAGTAAAGCTAGTAAATTATGTATAAATGCACCTCAGAGGTAGAGGTTTAAATTTAGCAATCCCTGGTTATTAGAATAACCAGTCATAAATATTATTATTCACTAGTAATTTGGTTATGGCATTAAATCAAAGGCAAATTCTTCATGTTCATCATCAATCATTACAGGTGCAGCATTTACAAGATTCCAGACATTGCGGCTGCAAAAAGTTTTCCCTAGAAAGTTAGCTGAAAGTCTTGTTAGCTATGGTTCTTGTCAATTTCCAACACTAGGCTTTGTGGTGGAGAGGTATAGGGCTGTCGAAAATTTTGTATCAGAACCTTTTTGGAAGTTGAGAGGTGAATTTTTTAAGATTCCTAGACTTTTGTTTTGTCATTGTACCTTAATTCTTTTTTGTCTTCTCATTCTAATTTATTTTTTATTCATATGGCATTTACTCACAATATCTTTCACAGATTATAATGTTATTTTATCAGATAACATTTTAACTTTTACTAATAATAAAAATCTGAAAATTGAGATGTTTGTTACTCAATCTCAGTCATAACATTTGGCATAGAAGATAATTGTAGTCTGAAATGATATATAGGCTACTATTCTAACCTATAGTATGATTCTTCAGGATAATTTTCAAGTTTTCAACTACTGGAAAAGAGAGCATGTGAGTGAGGTTGCTAGCAAAATTTAATTCATATTTAATTAATTTGTTTTATCTTTTGTTTAAAGTAAACCACACAATGAACAACTTAAGTGTAGATTTCGCATGGGAAAGAGTGAGATTGTTTGATCAAAGCGCATGTCAATTGTTTCATGACATTTGTATTGAGAATCCATTGGCAAAGGTATGTGAAGTGAAAACTAAACCCAAGTCCAAGTGGAGACCTCTACCTTTAGACACAGTGGTAAGTTCAAATTGTATTGATTTGTTCCTAAAATTCCCTTTCAAAATATACTTATCTGTAGCAACAAATAGTTTAACTAATAACAGAGATATCATACTATTTAAGCGCAACTTTTTATTACTTAAATGAAATTTTAAACTTGTGATTGAAAATAAAAACTAATCTATAAAATTAAAAAAATATCAGCTTGAGTTTTTATATGTACAACAGTTTTATTTAACCAGGAACTTGAAAAACTTGCTTCAAGAAAGCTAAAAATCAATGCAAAAGAGACAATGAGATTAGCAGAAAAATTGTACACTGGAGGTTTCATCAGTTACCCGCGTACGGAAACAAACGAGTTTCCTAAGGAGATGAACTTGGCACAACTAGTGGGGCATCAGACAGGTGACCCTAACTGGGGGTCGTTTGCACAGAACATTCTGGATAGCGGGGGTCCAACTCCACGACAGGGCAATAAGAGCGACAAAGCCCATCCGCCCATACACCCCACAAAGTACACCAACAGTAAGTTATTATAAGATTTAAATACGTATATTTAACACGAAAATCCTTCTGGCATCCATTACAAATTAACGTTAAATGATTAATGAGTTATATGAAGAGTCAATAAGATAAATCAGCAGAGCTTGGTTCAGAACTGTGCTTGCCAAGTGTAAGGGGAGGGGGTTGCCAAATCTAAATTCCATAGGGGTTTGTCGTAATCCCCACAGGCGTTTGCTATAATTCATAATCCCACGAAGAGGGCCTTTTTCCTACACCTTATTCCAATTTATGATTCTGATATCAATATCACAATCACAAAGAAAAAAAGAGCCGATAAATGTCACAATATTAGATGTATTTGAATACTTTAAATATCTTGTAACTTGTACGCAGGTTTATCGGGCAATGAACAGCGGCTATACGAGTTCATAGTGCGATCTTTTCTCGCATGTTGCTCCAAAGACGCCCAGGGTCAAGAAACCACGGTCTCCATCGACATAGCTAACGAAAAGTTCCACGCAAGTGGTTTAATGATCACAGCAAGAAATTACTTAGAAGTCTACCCTTATGATAAATGGTCCTCAAAGGAAATTCATGTTTATGAAGTTTGTATTAAAGTCTATTTTTGCGATACACACATGTAAAAGTAATAGGGAGATTCAACTGATTTATTTTGTTTTAGAATGGCCAAACTTTTAATCCAACGAGCATAGATATTTTGGATGGTAATACATCGCCGCCTAATTTGTTAACTGAAGCGGATCTCATTGCGCTTATGGAGAAACATGGAATTGGTAAGCTATGTCTGTTTATTAAGTAAGAGGGAGTATAGCTTCTATTAACTGGAGTTTTCTGGGCATCATAATACCCAATAAGCACATGTTAAAGATTATAAAAAAACTATTTTTTTAACTTAAACACAATCGGTACACCTATGTATAAAACTAATTACCAATAATTAATTCCAGGAACGGATGCGACGCACGCAGAACACATAGAGACTATAAAAAATAGATCGTATGTGGCGTTAGCGGATGCTATTCACTTTGTACCAGGCTTGCTCGGCATGGGACTGGTCGAGGGCTACGATGCCATGGGCCTTACAATCTCCAAGCCACATCTACGTGCACAACTAGAAGCCGACCTTAAAGCCATCAGCGAAGGTCGAAAACAACCCCAGCTAGTTTTAGCTGAGCAGGTGAACTGTGCCACTAGTTTTTCTTTAATACATTTTCAACTTTATTGGCTTTGCAATAGAGTCGAGAATCCATTGAAAATGATATTGAAGTAATTTGGAACACGGAATTTTAACTACTAACTATAAAGGTACTGAATCATGAATACTCTAAAATAACTAATAATGTTTTACTTTTCTAGATAGCAAAGTATAAAGAAGTTTACCAAACGGTGGCGCTGGAAGCGAATAAAATCGACGCAGCGCTGGCTGAAAGGTTTCGAGAACAACCCAATGAGTATGTTCCTTCGACCGAGTCTCTGCCCGTCAGTATGCCTTCAGGTAACATGGTTACAAATATAATATGTATTGGAACTGTACAAATGTATAAGAGGTATTTACTTAAGGTCCGATTTAGATCTCTTATGTCATATATTTGGTCAAACAAAAGTAGTCTCTAAACATCGGAAATAAGGTTTATATAGAGTAAATGGAGAGCGGTCACCGGTGACTGCTTAAGGATTGCCCAGTTAAATTGGTAAAAGACAAGGAAATTGATATTTTTATTATATTTTCCGGCTAGGTATCGCCCAGGGAGCTTGAAATATTTAAAAAAAATATGTTATTTTCGTTTTTGCCAATTTTTTTTTGCTTGAAGAATGCCGCTGCCACCTCAAGGATATACTGTCTGTGTGACGTATTGTACACTGCTTTGACATCAAGAAAAGAAATCCCAATTTAAAATATATTTCTTTCACAGCCCTAAAATGTCCTAAATGTGGAACAGACATGGTTGTACGACAGAAGAAGAACAATGCGGACGATTTATACATTAGTTGTATGTCATTCCCGAATTGTAAGAACGCAGTGTGGTTGCCGAGTCTAGTCAAATCGATACAAGTATTAAATAATACTTGTCCTACTGTAAGTACCAAAAAGACTTATTAGAAAAGGTACAATATCCAGCCATGCACATTGACTATCTGTGATATTGATTGCAATATGCATATTTGTAATATTTTATTTCTTGTTCTATATTTTTATAATTCAAGGAGAGTGCTTCACAAGTTTTAGCGGTTCCTTATCATAAGTAGTATACGCGGCAACTAGGCCGGTTGTCTTTTTACAAAGGTTGATGTGCAATATAATATTTATCGCCGGATACTGTATTACATTATACCTCTCTGTATTTGCAAGCTATGTTTAAACATGCGTTTGATCTTTTCAGTGTGGACCAAACTATAAAATGTTGAAATTTGAATGGAAAAACAATCAGCTGAGTCATTTGTACCCGCCCCCTTACACTGGATGTATCGGCGGCTGTGACATGACGTTTTTAGAAATGCTAAGAATAAACCCAGCTAGCGTGAGACCTGTGTCGGATAACAGAAATCAAGTAGCAACACAACCACAAAACACAATAAATAGTAATAGGACACAAACTGTGAATAGTAGAACTAATAATATTAATAGTGCCAACACAATTCCTGTCGCACCAGTGCGAGCAAACCCCAGACAGCCCACAGCTACCACGACACAGCCAAGGCAATTTCTACCTCCGCCCACTGTAAATAGAAACCAAAATACAATGAACAATCAACCGAGAATGCCCACACCAAGGAGTAATGACGGTGACAATAATATACTCTGTGGTTGTAACCAGCCAGCCATTTTGTTGACTGTACGGAAACAGAACGCGAACCATGGTAAGTTTGCATTAGGTAATAAAGGCTATAGTGTTTTTACTAAACATATTTTTAATGGGATACAATCTGGTAAATGAGCTGACAGATCACCTGATGGTAAGGAATCAGCGCCGCCCATAGACACCCGAAACACCAGAGCCGTTACATGTGCGTTACCGGTCTTTTGAGCATTAGGAAAAAATTATTAGGAATGGAGGCAATGGAGCCTCCGGTTATCATACGCTAATGTAGTGTGATGGGATCTATTTCTCCAATCACTGTAGCTATAAAAATTTTGAATGTACAATGATTTGACACTACCTAATTCTCTGTTGGATAAACAGGATCTCAAGTTACATTAGCCCCATCTGGTGAACAAAAATATTACTTAAGAATAGTGAATGTTTCCAAAAAGTTGTAATAACTATAACTATAAAATTGTAAACAAAAAAAAAATATTCCAGGCAAACAGTTCTACAAATGTCAAGTAGGAAAAGACAACGGCGGTTGTGACTTCTTCCTCTGGGCGCCTGAAAACGACAGCTCAATACAGAATCCGTACGACACGCCGCCGAATAGTACGTGGGATAGTAATGACACGAGTAGTACGAGTAGAGGCTGGGGGATTGCACCGAGCAATCCAAGAAGCAGTGGCGGGAACAATGACGATGTTATGTGTGACTGTGGGATACCATGTAAACGGTAAGCAAATACGATACTTCTATTTTGTTTTACGTTTAATGAAATGGAAAGGTTACCGCTTAGTTCTCTGATTCAAATTCAAATTCAAATTCTTTATTGCGTTCCACAATGTTTTACTTAGGTGGTAACATAGAATAATACAGACCATTGTGGACCCTGTCGGGCACAGCAAGGAAAATAACTATATAATTTTAATACAAAAAAAAAACATTACATAAACAATATTAGAGCATTTAGATATAATTTATACGAACAAAAAAGATAAAAAGACCAATTATTATTATTAATTAACAAATTATACATAATATTAAAATTACAGTCCAGTTAACAAATTATTATTAAGTATTATTGTTTATAAATTATACTGTCATCAAAAAAGTCTTTAAGAGTGTAATAGCATTTATCTATTAAATATTTTTTTAGTCTCGATACAAATATATTGTTTTTTTCTACCTCTACAATTTCCCTTGGCAGTTTATTGTATATCTTTATAGACATTACCAGAGGGCCAGAATGGTAAATTTTTAGTCTAGATGTGGGTAGGTTCAATCTTTTTGTGGCGTAATGAGTAGTTTGGTTTGCTTCTGATCGCGGGAAGTGTAAAATTCTGGGTATTTTCGAACAAATTTACATATCTCCAGGATATATAGGCTGGTAAGGGTAAGTATTTTATATTTTTGGAAATATGGTTTGCAGCTGTCAGTTTGTTCGATATTTGCTATTATTCGGATTAGTTTTTTCTGCAAAGTAAATACTGTGTGTGAATCCGTGCTATTTCCCCATAAAATTATACCGTAGCTAAGCCAGGCTTGCGCGTATGCATGGTAAGTTATTAGAGCGGTCTGTAAGTTTGTTGTCTTTTTGAGTTCGCGTAAGGCATAAGAAAACCTGGAGAGCTTTGCTCGTATTTTTTGCGTATGGGACTTCCAGTTTAAGTGTGTATCTATAGTTAATCCGAGAAGCGTAAAGTCGTTTACCTGTTCAAGATTTGTTCCTTTAAAGTTGAAATTAATATCAAGGTGGGGTTTATTTGGGTGATAGACTTTAGAGCAGGATAATCAGAGGTTTAGTACGAGTTTCCATTACGTTTAAAGTAATCGAAACGAGTACTCGTTCGGCGTTGTGATTGGCCGGCTCCGATGAACCAACCAATCAGAGCGCCGGACGAGGTTTCGGTTTTCGGTAAACGTACGACAAACTCGTACAAAGCCCTTTGATCAAATTCGTTATGAGATTCAAGACGGTTGTTCATATCGAGAAATTTACAGTATTTATACCATAGCATAATTATTATTCTGTCTTCTAGTAAAGGATCTGCATTACTTACGTTTCCTATTACAGATTGATAGCCCAAAAAGAAGGACCAAATAAAGGGCGTCCTTTCCACGTGTGTGTGAAGGACATAGCTACAAGATGTAAATTCTTCCAATGGGCTGACAGTGAAACTATTCCAGGTAATGAAATAGATATAAACTATGTTGTACCATGAATATAATTATAGTTTTACATTTGCAATTAATTCAGAACATTGAAAATTTTTTTGCAAATTGATCTCAAAATGTTTCTGGTTTTTCAGATTGGGGTGTAGGTAATAGTACCACCAGTAATCGTGGTAGGGGACGTGGCCGAGGGGGTAGGGGGACTCGCGGAAATACGAGTAGGGGGGGAGGGGCGGTCCGCGGCGGGCCCAGGCTGTGCGGGCTTTGTAAACAACCCGGACATACTCGGGCACGTTGCCCCAATGCACAATGAAGAACTTTCAGTTTCAACTTCATGTCATTATAAAAACATTGCCATTTGTTTTCTTGTGATATGCAGATGTCTACTCATCAAGCTACTCCTAATTTAGATAACTGTTGGAGATTTTAGACGTGGCCTTATTTATGTAGATGCTAGCACGTCAAGCTACCCCAAATCGTCATCAATAGTCGATAGAGTTAAAAATCGTTAAAGTAGTAGTACTTGTATCGGGGATGATGTTGATGTCCCAATACGAAATGAAATAAAATGAGTATTAGTCGAAAATTATAGATACTATTCAGTCGGGTTGCATTAAAAAAGCACCTATATTATGGTGCATTAGTCTTTACCTGACGTACTCTATCAAGTATCCAATAAATTTTCTACTTTATTACAACACCATAAAATTGAAAATCAATTATTATAGTATCAAAATAATTTGACAATTTTATTTTGATTGTTGGCATAAAAAAGATTGCTCTTACAAGCTTTGGTCTATGTAACATGCTGCATTTCATCAAAACCTGATTATTCGTTTTTGCATTTATGTAGCTAAAGCAATAAAAAGTTTGTGATATTTATTTATAGGATTTTTGTAAATCTTTGTTACTGCTGTTAATGATAAGTAGTCATCCTGTGTTCTCACTGGATGTCTGTAAATTGAGATCTGTAAGCACTTTGTATAATATGTATATTGATGTAAAATATTACTATTTAAGTAAATAAACATATTTTTAATATGCTTTTCTTTTCAATAATACCTTTGATACTCCAATAGCAAATACAACAGCTTCATCTTATTTGTTATGCGAAATTGATAATTAAAACACCAGTAAATATTTGGAATTATTTTATTTACACTAATTAAAACCATATAACTATAGTATTTAAGACCATTTCTTCTTATTACTCTTCTGTTTCAAATTACCTAAACTCTGTGCTCTCTGCATTTCGGCTTGTTGTTCAGCCTCAACAGTTTTGTCAGTCATCATGTCCAATAATATTTCAAACTTTAATCTTAACATATTATTCTCTTCTTCAAGCCTTTCCAACTCGTTTTTGAGTCGAATATTTTCCTTATGAGCAGCACCGGCTTTGCCAGAAGCTGTAAATTTAAAAAGATAATATTAAAAATACAACAAGTGACGGCACGGTTGGTGCGGTAGCTGGACAACTGGCTCGCACGGAACAACTCTTCATGTGATTACAAATTGTTGTTCCGGGTCTGGGTGTCATGTGTATGTGAACTTGTTTTTGTAAACGTTTTTTTTTTTTTATGGAATTGGAGGCAAACGAGCAGACGGATCACCTGATGGTAAGCGATCAGCGCCGCCCAATGGACACCCGCAACACCAGAACGCCGGAACACCGCAACGTACCCACGACACATGGTAAACCCTAGGATGGGGCAACATTTAAAAAAATCGTTGCTATTTTGTCCCATAAATACCTAGTTATAAAAAGTAGATATATTGATAGGTATGTTAGGAGCAGGTAACAAACCGTAAAGTCTAAAAGAAATAAAATTAAGCACAAGTTCACATATTTATAAACGTTAACAATTTACCTGGAATCCATTGACCTTCTTCAAAAGATATTTCGAAATCTCCCAACTTTAATTTCAATGGGCCCACATCGAGCGATAATTCTTTCGATGCATAGTCACTACCAAGTTCACTTTTCAATACGGTAGTGTCCTGTTTCCTTACTGGAATACTTTTTGGGGAGAATTTATTGCTAAACAATGGCATTTTCTTGCATCAAAGCGACATTAACAATGACGTTCAGCCATAACATAACAAACTGTTGCCTAGCAACGCGTGTACAAACAAAAAGTTGGTTCATAGAGTTTGTTTATCTTTGCTTGGAGATGGAGAACTTAGAACTACCTGCAAAAGTACTCCTGCAAATCAATAACTGTTTTGGTAGCTTAACATTTTTATTTCATTTGCTCTCATGCTCTCTCTCAATGCTCTCAATTACCGTGCGTACCTACGCATTTATATAATACAACTTATATGTGTTTTTTTAAGGGGGTAAATTCATCGAATGACTGCTCCCGCCTGGGTGAAGCGGGAGGGAGTGTCAGACTCTTACTGACTAAAATCCACCCCGTTCCTTCTCATGCACTTCGAGCCGGAGCCCCGGTAACCCGTTAGGTTCTTCACGACAAATATTATGTGTTTAGAACCTTAATTTTCTTACGCAGCTGTTTGTGTGAAGTACGTAAAGCCATTGAGTAAAGCCGATAAAAAATATTTTGATGTGTTATTTAAGTGTGAACTGCTTAATCAGTATGATTGCTACCATGACCATGACTCAGTAAATGACCCATCCAAGTGCTAATTGAATAGAGTAACAATATTTTTACAGGTCATGCTTGGCCGTTTTCTGACGTTTATGTTTGAGAGTATTTATTTGGTATTTATCAGTATCAGTTCATGTATCTGATCACGTATCGGTTTTATCTTTACGATCAACAGTAAAATAGGCTAGAATAACTTGGAACTACACACGATTATGGAATATATTAAAGATGAATAGTAATTTACCTCGATCGAAAATGAAACAAAATAATGTTTTAATACTGTTTATTCGAGAAAATAAGTAAGAAAACGTTTACAAAAATAGACAAACAACATAAATAATACAGAACAATTGTATATTAGAATATAATACTAATAAATTATGGAATTTTTAATAAATTATTATAAATGTTATAAGGTTATTGCTTGTTCATATTGTACATGGATGCAGTGTAAAAGCTGCATTATGCATTATTTAATTATTATGTTTTCAGTCTAATTAACATCACAGCAGGAATGATTAGAATTACGGAGCCGATTGTGTACGTGATCATTGCGCCGGAGCACCAGTACACTGAAAAGAAAAAAATTAGGATAATTAAATTCAATTAGATGTAATTTACATGAAGGTAGGTAATTTAATATTCAATTTTATTTGTAGCTATCTAAGGAGTGAGCGCTTCGTTGCTTTTCAGTCAAATAATAATAAGAGTGTTCTGATATGAATCGGACTCGGAGTCTCCGACTAGGTACAGGACGTTCTAATCGGGATTGGCCCAAGTATTATTTGAAGTTGTCTACACTGTGAAATTTATATCGCTTCCGTCCGTCTCTATAATACAATAGTTTTGAACCACACTTTGAAAGCGCATTCGAACTCATAGTACATTACTAAAACATCTCGCCATGTAATTCTCGAAGAAGTATTTCTCGGTGGGTGGCACGTGTGATGCAAATAGGGCCAAAAAAGTTACATCTCATGTGCGTAAGTCAATTAATATTTTTTTTGAACTAATAAAAATACGTCTTTATTATTTGTTCTCACATTATGCTCCAAAAGGCAAGTCGTCTTGTCGCGGAACGAAATCGATATAAATTTCACGGTGTATAAGGAATGGTACGAAGGAAAATACCCGGTGTAAACCAAAAGTCCTATCACGTGGTATTAAAGTGCACACATCACAGGTAAAATTTGGTTGTTTTTTTGTACCTCTACAATACTGTCGTGGACTAACACATAATGTTTACAAACAAAAATCTTACACAGGTAAAAAACCGGATTTGAGGCCGACATATTTGTTTTTTTACTCAACAAAGGATTAGATGATAACAAAATTAAATGATCAGTCAACTTCGCAGTATTGATAACACTTTTATTACTAATGGAACAAGTTCGATTTTCCAACTACAATTTGTTATCCGCACAAATATGTGAAGCATGAGTAATCGATTGATAAATAAGCGTATCGTATCAGAGATAAGCAACTCTATGAAATTATAGGTCAAGATCTTATGGGGTATTCGTTCTAATGCGGACATCACATCTTTTTTAGTTTGAAAATGATATAGCGCCATTTGATACATAATATGTAGGTATGTAACTATATATTTTTGTGTTGAGTCAAATGTCGTGTGAGTGAACGTAAATGTTATCGTCCAAAAGTATTAGGTATAGCAGTCGTGGAGGTACTTCCGCATACGCGAAGTTTGACTGTTCGTAGCCTTTTTCTTACGAAAATCCATAATAATTATGTTCTCATAACAGTTATAACTTTTTGGTTAAGTAAGAAATTATGACTTAGTTATGATAGTTACCTGAAGACGCCAACAATGGGCCCGCGGCACGAGCGAGAGCCCCCAGCGATCTAAGTGTCCCAAGTACTGCACCCCGCGCTTCCTCTGGCGCTTTACCCGCGGCCATCGATGTCATACATGATACCGCGAACGCCGTAGCTGCGGAATATCGCATTGATTAGATCACTAACAAGCATCCAATGAGGTATAAATGGATTTTTCCTCAATAAAAAAATATGTTATTAAGTCCGCTATCTATTCGATTACTTGATATTATCTAAAAATGCCCAGTGATAGTGTTATTAATCTTCTGGTAAGTACCGGATTATCCCAGCCAAGACTAGATTTAATTAAAATTTTTGGAACACACACAAAATTAAAACTCGTTCTCGTACAAGATCCTAAGAAAATAATAATTGACGTGCTTAATAGAATACGAAGGTTTGCTACTTACACAATGCAAATAAAACTAGTCCAAGCCAAAGCCAACTTATAGGTGAGAGCAAAGGAGGATGGGGTAGCGCTGCAAAGGCTACACTTAAGAATGAAGCTGGGGTCAAAATCAGAGCACCCCGAGCGGCTACTTCAGCGCCTCGGGACCCCAACCTACGTGCCGCACCACCTTGCAGCACGGCCATTATAAGACCTGAAACATTTGCAAAATTGAAAACACATTCATAGTAAAAATGTATTGACGTAAGAATGGGTGAAAAGAATGATAAAGAAGGATGTGACAGATTGTGTGAAGAACGAGAAGGGAATTTAGATTATGTTTGATAGGAGAGAATGGAAGTAATAGAAGAAGATATAATGCTAAAATATTTATCTACATTGCACTTACCCATAACTAGGAACATTTTGCCTTGCTGCATAGCAGTGTAGTGGAAGGTATGATGCGTTAGGAATGTAAGAGTAAACTCCAGACCAGAGTAAATAAATAAATATAGAAAATAGATCAGTCCCAACTTTGATAATACTCTACTTTGATTCTTCGAAAGATTTTTAACAGCAGTAAATTTTAATAGATGCCAAGGAGAGACGAAATCCACTGACTTAGACAGAGTGAATGATAAAGGTGCTCTTTTGTCCTGCAAAATATTTTGTGTTATAGTAGAAGAAATATGTATAATTAACAAATACAATTTACACCACTAGATTCGATACTCACTTTCGTCAATGTTTCCGGAACGAATAATAATACTAGTAGAATGTTGGCAAGAGAAAGAGACAGGGCATAGAAAGCGGGCGTTTCACCCCAGGCGCCAGAAGTTAAGTCACTGTTCTTAGCAAACCATGCTCCAGTAACTGGCCCCACAATGAACCCAATGGAGAATGCCAAACCTATTAAAGCCTGAAAAAGTAACAAACAAAATTGTTGTAAGTAGTACGGTTATTTACGTATTCATTAACTTAATATTAATTTCGACTTTTCAGTACCTGTTAAGGCATTATATTTAACAGAAACTTGCGCGCGAGATCGACTCGCACTTGGTCAACTTTTAGGCTTGTTCGGACAAATGTAACATAAATAAATACGAAAATTACAGAGGCTACATGGACATTATACTATGTACTTAATATCATAATTTAAACAAGTGTGCAATTATCTTACCATTCCTCTGGCCCTGGTTTTCTCATTGGAGGCGTCTGTGACTACTGCCATACTTAGGCTTACATTGGCTTTGCTCAATCCCCCAATGAATCGAGCCAAAACAAACACGCTAAACGTACTTGCGCAACTCCATAGTGCATGCGACAATGTTATTCCTACCTTAAAAAATTAAAACCTATGTTATTGTGTTGGTCATATTATACTTAGTAGGTTGGATCCGATTGCTGGGTTAAACATAGCATTAGCATATTCTTATAATAACTATCGTGAGACATACTAAATTAACAGATTTTCAGTATCACGTGAGTAACCCGTGATTTTTAGTTAATGTAGCATTAGCATTTCCCATTCCTATATCAAGCACTGCTTACCACTTCATGCTTGTTACAATTTAATTGGCAAATCAGAACTATCCAAAAATTTCAAGACTTATAGACAATTACAATATAAAATACTTTACAGACAATTACAATATAAGATACTTTATATTTAATTGTCTGGATGGGTTTGAGTACATACAAAAATAGCATTTCAGTATAATTTATATTCAAATACTTTTGGATAACATATTTATCATTTTAATGAAGCAACATTGTATTGGTTCTCAGTATGTTAACTACTATAAAAAGAATTAAAGTAATGTTTTCTTAAATTATTGAAGGACTTAAATCATATCATAACAGTAAAATACTGGGAAATCCTGTAAGTTTCACAATCATGAATCATTGCAATTGTACCATATTTTTTCCTAAGCAATAAAACACTACATTTCTGATGCAAGGCAAAATCGCATTTAATAATATAATGTAGCTAAGATCCATTTTGGCTCAGCAGTCAAATGAGGATATTACATGTATTCATCTTTTCCACAAAGGAAGTGTGTTTTCTACTTGTAACCTTGATAATAATAAGTAATAACACTTGAGTAAACAACTAGTTGGTACTCTTGTAATGAAGTATTATAATTTTATTAAGTACCTACATTGAGTGTATTTAAATTAATTTATAATAATTAGCATAACAATATGAAGATCCCATATTTTTCATCTTATTTGTTTATAATCAGACTTCAATATTTATACTATGTTGAAAAAGTGGTTACATTTCATATCTGAAGATACATTCTTATAAGAATCGATAGAATGAGCTGATCTGTGCCAATAGAATATCAGTAAGTTTGACTTACATTTAACCCAAAATTAAATTATATTTTTGCCCTACCCACATCTTATTATTATTTGAACAGTATTTTTTTTCTAATATTGAAACTACAATATTCTTTAGAAAGATATATTGTAATAGTTTCTTTACTAAGATATTTGTATTATCACTGACATGCTGATAGTAGATACTACTGTGAGCCAGCACTGACAACATATCTTGTTGAGAAACTGCCTGATAAACCTATATGACTACACCATCATCAACTCCATACTACTAAATGTTTATAGTTACTAATTAAACTTAATTTAGAAGTTTTATTTTATTTTATTTTGACTGCTTACATACCTATGAGTAATATGAATATGAAAAAATAATAATATGCAAATAATAACAAACAAGCACAGTAATAAGACAATAAGAATATTAATACTTATAAACAGGTAAAACCTTTTTGAATGTACTCAGCATTAGACATAAGTATCATGTTTTATTATAATAATTATATCATCATGACATCATAATAGGATTTATTATGTGGTTAAATTAAACTTACCAAACAGATTAACAGCATAGGTTTCCTTCCATATGCATCTGAGAGGCTTCCCACAATTGGGCTTGTCAAAAATTGTAAAAAGCTGTACATTGATCCAAGTGCCCCCCCAAATAAAACCGACGCGAATTGATCCGGGGCTCCTGTGAGCTTTTGAAAACTTTGCACTGCTCTCAATAGAGACGCATACAGGCTGTTCCCTTTGCCTTCTTCTCTGTTATAATAATCCAGCAGTGACGGCAGAAGAGGTAAAATCATCGTAAAAGCTAGTAAATCTAAAAGTAACGATACAAATATCAACCCAATTGTTTTTGTATTTCTTTTCGTATTTTTACTCTCGATATTACTGCTATCATCATTAACTTCGACTTTGTCCACTTGTTTGCTGATTCTTTTACGAATTTGTCCATTTTGTTGTTGGTAGTCCTAAAATAAATATTTTTTTAAATTTAATATTATTATATCAAGCATTTCTAGATAATACAAATGAAGATATTAGATGTTTTATAAATGAAAACTCACTCACCATTATTATATGATACAAAACACAGTACTGGTATAAAGTTTCATCAAAAAGCAACAAGCCATGGAGCTAAACAATTTCGTTATGCGGTAAGATAGATATAAATTCTCACACAAACTTTCACTTTTCGGTACGAGAAACGAGTTGTTGGAGTTTTGACATACATGAATAATCCAACTAAAACTATTGTTATTTTTTATATCATAAACTTGGCGCATTTAAGTACTCTTGAAATTAGTCGTATTATATATTGACATTGTTGACATTAGTTATCACTATTGACACATGAACACAATGTTAGTGTTGTCCCTATGTAAAAATAGGTGTTCCATTGTAGATTATGATCATGAATAGTGTAAGACAATGTAAATTAATGAATGATAGTAATAAAAGCTTGTGAACACGGATTACCGATTATGTAATTATATTGAATAAGATTCAAATACTTCACGCACGATTAATATTTTTTATTTTTATCAAAAACATTAAATTTTCTATCAAAATTATTTATGGCTCGATTAGTCGGTCGACCAAGTCGGCTTGCAGGATGGTAATGGAGAGGATGGGGAGTTTAGATAAGATTAATTTAAAAATAATTATTTTGTATTACTTAATTTTTATTTTGTAGTTAATTTTTGTTTTACATTGCTTAGATTTAAATAAAAATGAATAAATACCCACGTAGAGAGAAAAAAGGCTAGTGTCTAAAGTTTGAACAAAAAAGTAATAATTTTGATGTTCCGTCCGACTCGACGCCATTTTGCAAAGTCGTATTTTTGCTTGAGCTTGAGTAAACCGTGAAGTGTTGATTAACTTCTTAAATTATAGTTAAACACTAAAATATGGGCGAAGATAAAGGTAAGGTATCCGATGCAGGTATATGGTCTTGTATTTACTAGTATTGAACATAAATAATTGTGTTACTTTGATTACAGATCGCCGACGCAGGTCGCGTTCAAGGGAAAGGCGGCGTTCTAGGTCCCGTTCTAGAGAACGTCGTGAGAAACCAGCGAGGAGAAGTAGATCTAGGTCTCAAAGCAAAAGATCTCGCAGGCGCAAGCCTTCTCTGTATTGGGATGTCCCGCCACCAGGGTTTGAGCACATCACTCCGCTACAGTATAAAGCCATGCAAGCTGCCGGACAAATACCAGCCAATATTGTCGCTGATACACCTCAAGCTGCTGTGCCGGTCGTTGGTTCTACGATCACACGTCAAGCACGAAGATTGTACGTCGGCAATATACCGTTCGGCGTCACAGAAGAAGAGACTATGGAGTTCTTCAACCAACAGATGCATCTTTCGGGCTTAGCGCAGGCTGCCGGCAACCCCGTGTTAGCGTGTCAAATTAATTTGGACAAAAACTTTGCATTCCTTGAATTTAGATCTATAGATGAGACTACACAGGCTATGGCTTTTGATGGCATCAACTTCAAAGGGCAGAGCTTGAAGATTAGACGGCCTCATGATTACCAACCTATGCCAGGCACTGAGAATCCTGCCATAAATGTGCCAGGTAAGGTGACAGCCATTTCATTATGTATTTCTTAATTCAACATGTTTCAAAGGAATTGAAATAACTCCTATCCTTATTGTGTGCTACAATATATTTGAGTTTACTTCTTATAAGTGTTATTTTTTGTTTTCAGCCGGTGTAATTAGTACAGTAGTTCCAGATTCTCCTCACAAAATATTTATTGGCGGTTTGCCCAATTATCTAAATGAGGACCAAGTAAGTAACTGCTTTCTGATAGTCATTATAAAATATTTGTCTGTGATACATTGATTAGTTGCCAATAATACCTTGAAAATGATTAGATTAAACCAAATGAGTTCTCTTAATTTAATTAAAGTTCGTTCTACATAAGATCAATGTTTCACAGTTTATTTAATAATTTATTTGTTCTTTATCTCATGATAAAGTTCCATTGAAACCAAAAATATAAATTAATGCTGATAATTATAAATTACAAAAGTAATAATTATAAATCAAACTTCAGTATACAGGACAGGATGTATTGGAAACCCCATATTTTAACTGACAATATTTATACTTACCAGTATTATGGAGTAAAATTACATTATAAACATTGTATATTATTATATAAAATTATAATGACAAACTTCCAATCAAGGTATTATAAATAATATGCAACTCTACATACTGATGATACAAAATTGTTTTGCAGGTCTATACTGCGACTGCTTCTTGTATTCTTACACACAGATTCTTAGGATTTCTCTCGAAGTGAACTAAATCATCACATTCCATCTTTTTTTTAATATTTGTTTTGAACCTAAATTCTTCTAGCACTTTAGGTCATTAAACATGAAGCATGTTTATTGAAATATTCGGTACCGCTATGGTGTAACAATCAAAATAGACATGAAACATACGTAAGTCATTCATAGCAATAATGATGCAGAAGCTTACCACAAATATTGCACACATGACTGTAGATGTTCCCATTAGGAGGTAGAATTAGGTGCCGCAGCCATTTCAGGGCGAGATTCAACAGTTGACAGGGCTACGGTGGAGCCAGCAGTGAGCCGCGTTATATTTTGGTCAGTTTCAGGTATTTTCACAGGTACCCTAGCGGGGACGAGCGTGCGCTTCACGCTCGATATATTCTGAAACAACTCACTGATATAGTTTGCTTTCTGCCCCTCCCTAGCTTAGATATGGCACATTCGCGGCCCGCGTGTCACTGTTGTCTCTCATTCTCACCTATACGTCTTGTACTTGAATGAGACGTCGGCACTTCAAGGCAAGTCTCCTCCATTCACATCTGATTCTAACATGCGGCTAGACACAGGTCAGATAACATTCATTTATATATTTGCTGCCTTTTGCTAAGCAAATGTTACGGGAACTCTAAAAAATTGTGTGTAATGAATGTACAACTGCATAATAGACCAAATCGTGTATCTAAATATTTAATCAGTGTAAACCAAACCTTAAATAAACAACACTATTTCTAATTGAATTTTGTGTGAAACAGGTAAAAGAATTGCTGATGTCATTTGGACAACTTCGAGCTTTCAATTTGGTGAAGGATTCATCTACTGGACTAAGCAAAGGCTATGCATTTGCTGAATATGTTGATATATCTATGACTGATCAGGTAAATGTCCATTGAAATAATTTTTTATTTCATGAGGTACAAGAAAATTTTCCAATTGTAACTGTTATTATTTTTCATTAGGCTATAGCAGGTCTTAATGGAATGCAGCTGGGTGACAAGAAACTCATTGTTCAACGAGCAAGTATTGGAGCTAAGAATTCGACATTAGGTAAAATTAATTCATGATTATTTTCCTTAAATTTTATGTTCAAGATGGTGATTGTTACTAATTAGTAAAACTTTATGTAGCTATGACGGGAGCTGCTCCAGTACAGTTACAAGTGGCTGGGCTCACACTGGCCGGTGCCGGGCCACCCACAGAAGTATTGTGTCTCCTCAACATGGTCACACCTGACGAATTACGCGATGAAGAAGAGTATGAAGACATTCTTGAAGACATCAAGTTAGTATTGATAATTAAATAAAAACATGTTAAATGTTAATTACTACTTTTTTCAGTTCCTTTTTTTATCAATATCAAGCTATTCTCTTAATATATAGATGTATGTTTAATTTTACAGGGAAGAATGCAACAAATATGGCTGTGTACGCAGTATAGAAATTCCAAGACCAATAGAGGGAGTTGAAGTACCTGGATGTGGAAAAGTATGTTCAAAACATTGAACTAGTTTTAGTTAGATTATGCAATTATATGAAATTGTAACAATTTAATTAACTGTTATTAATCTTGTATTTTTGATTGCAGGTATTTGTCGAGTTTAATAGTATTGCTGATTGTCAAAAAGCACAGCAAACCTTGACTGGTCGCAAATTCAGTAACCGCGTTGTGGTTACTTCTTACTTTGATCCAGACAAATATCATCGCAGAGAATTCTAATTTTTAAGACTCCTTCTTACATAATTATATTTTAAAGTAATTCCCTTTGTCTAATACAATCTCAAAAATGACATGTTCATTTAAATGATGAATTTCATATTTATACCCCATCAGCTCGATTGTATAATTAAAGCTAAAATAAATTATAACAATGTCTAAAACTACTTTTTTATTTTTTTAAATGTAAACAAGTTATTATTTATATATTTATTTTTATTATTCTATAAATAAACAAAGTAATAAAATATTAAAAACACTTAGTAGGTGGTACTAGTTGGAGAAGACTTTAAAAGTAAAACGTTGCCAAATATTAACAATAAATTGATCGTTCGTTCGATTTTCGATGTGTTCCCATACTATGTTATGCTATCTCATAAATCTTAGAATTAACAATTAATCTTAAAAATAAACTTGGATTATGGCAGCTCTTGCTGCATAGCTGGCTGGTATGTGTTCAAGGATCCAGTTTCTGACGAAAGTACCAGCTTTCTCATGATCACGTACAGTACGCCACCGACAACTAACATGCCTATACCAGCCATCAAACTAATTGCCCAAGCAGGAACAGCATTACCATCTGAAATAGAAAGTAAAACTTTTTTTAACTGGATAAATTGAGAGGAAATATACAGTATCTACATGCTTTCAAAGGCATATAAATATCTACATTTAGCGCCAGTCCCATGTCACAACAATGAGCCATTGAATTATACACTCATGATGGCTCCATTCCAAACTGTCACTACTTCTAAATCGTAATAACTTCACTCTGCAATTATATTACTCTAGTGACTTCCGTGGTAGTCGAGGTACTCGCCAACGAGAAATAGCAGTTAATTAAAGGTATTTGTTGGACTTATGACAATCAAGTCGAATTGAACTTACGGTAATAAGTACGCGTCATTACACGTCGTCCTCGGAGAATTTTACGCCTGGCTTCGGCTTCTTGAGTCAAGGTGCTCAAAATTACTGAAACATAATAATATAAAAAATAACAAATGTGTAAGTAAATAGGTAACTTATGGCCAAATTTTTCTCAGTAGGGACAAGTTCTTATTGTTTTACATACTTCAATGCAAACTTTAACTTTCTTTTCCTACGATCACGAGGCTAACAAATTAATAATTATGATAGTATGTATTAAAAGGTATTTTTTTACTATTTAGGGAAGTATGTTGAACTTCTAGGAACTAGGTACTGTCTCTGTAAACTAAAAAATTCGAATAATAAATATAATTCTTGAACCGGAAGTACCTCCGTACCTTACACTAGGTACTTCTTAGATATGCAGTCGGTAGGTACCGAACGCTAGACATTATTTATCAGTAAATTACCTACGTATAAGTAAACGTATGTATGATAATTGCAATTAAAAAGAAGAATATTAGCATCAATTTATAACAATAGTTAAGTTTTTTCAAGCGACAAGTCTGAACTAATTCGAAGAAATTGATACGATCAAACGAAAATAGATTAAATAGACCTAACAGTTGAATCCTTAGCACATAGATATGTAGGTAAATGGAAGTGAAAGTTTTACACGTACCTACCTATGTTAATGTAGAAGAAATAACCATCATTTGGTAGATTAATTCTATTTAGGTATACCAAACATTACTCAGAAGGAGGCATCTATTAATTTCGCAACTACACGGATAACTTGTAACAAAGAAATCATAAAGTTTGTTTACAATATACTTATTTCATTGTACAGAAATTTCAAATATACAAACAGTACCCACCTAAAACTACAGCCAAGTAGAACCACAGGGATCTCTTCTGCGCCATTTTGAACTTAATTTTACAATTAGAACACTTTTAATAAATTAAAACACACTTCGCAATAAAGCGAAACTGATGACACACTAAAACAGGAGCATAGGTGTGTTCTTCTACTCGGGGCCCTTATCAGTTGTAGATAAGATAGTGTGATTACTAACGCGTATACGGACTAATCTTGTTCTGAAAAACAGGTTTGAATAACCTATGTGTGAGTCAATTGTTATGGTTATGTGTATGTGGGTCCATTTATTTAGAAGATAAGGGGGCTGGCACATGGAAGTAACAAAAGTACCTAAGTACCTTGCATTATGGTGTCCCGCAATAATGCAACAATAGGAATAATGAATATAGACGTATTATTATTTGACATCTGTCTATCCTTGAAATATACCCCGCTCAATCCTAATGGGTTCATCGTTCCCACAGATCTGTCCACATCCTGGATAGCGAAGAACCGTTCTCCATTGTCTCATACATGACATCAGGAAGGTACGTAGAGCTGTATCAACTTTGTACAGCTACCCTCATGAGCCATGTATGTGGCACGGAGTCATAGGCCTTTTTATAAACTATCCAGCATGTGGACAAATTCTTGTGAGATCTACGGACCTGTTGGCAAATGGACAGGTCAATAAAGAGCAGCTCCTTAGTACCACGGGATCCATTCCTACATCCATTTTGAGAGGCAGACATGATATTATTGTCTTCAATATGTTTATTAAGCTTTACTCTCAAAATGGATGTAAGAAGTTTGTAAATTGTGGGAAGGCACGTAATCTCGGCCGATAGTTTTTGGGTTCCGTGGTACTTCCAGATTTATGGAGCAGGTGGGTTAAACCTGTCGTAAAAAATTGGGGCAAAGATCCAGACTCCAAAGCTTCAATGTTATTATTATGTATTTAAATTTAGATTTTCGACATTGACGTTTACTTGATCAATTTGCCATTTCTATTTCTGCAAATTTGCCATTTCTATTTCTGCAAAACCCCCTATACTTATTATACTCTTTGTACAAAACTACCTATGTGCAGTGCCCTACATGCATGTGGATAGTACGCAAAGGAGGAGTATTTGGGGTATTCTAGAAAACCAAGAGAAACTAAGTTTATTAGTAATTTATTGAAAACCATTGCACTAAGACTATCTATAACAACATTAAATCTAACTTAATTCTAAATTCACATCGATTTACTTTTCAGAGAAAATGTTCTTAATGTCGACCTCGGTTAGGACTTTCGCTGAAACCGATTCTGGGCTTTCGGCGGTAATTTTTGCCTTAGTGGCCTCCAGTTGTCGCTCACTACCAACAATCTCCGCGGCTTTTTCAATTAGATCCTTGTTTGGAACTCCTTCGGACTTCAGCTTCGTGTATTGTTGTATAAGTCGCTTGGTTTGTGTTTCCGTTTGGCTGATCATATTTATTGCTCCTAAACCATACCCTTTGGAGTGAAATTTCCTGTAAAATAAATTGGGTAGCTAACTGAACTGCCAACTAGGCGACCCGATAGAACAGCTGATAGTAAGCAATCAACACCATTCTTTGTCACCAGTGACTGAAGGTCAGGCCTTCAGGGATTGGGAAATTGGCATTCAAATACACAAGAGCAGGTTGTTTCACGATATTATGAAGTTATTGTGGTAGTAATTATTATTAATTGTCTTCTGTCAATTAGATATTACATGCAGTTCTATTACACTGAAAAAAAACTTACGCTCTAATATTATCTTCAGGGTAAAGAATTGGTCTTATAGGCTTGATTTCTGGTTTTGGTTTAGCAAACTTGGGTTCCACAAGAGGTGGGAAAGCTCTGTACACATCAAACCACAAAGGCCTGTCATCTGGTTTTATTGCTCCTTTTGTGAGAAGTCCCTCCACTCTGTAATTAAGAATGAAACATATTATGAATGTTTAAAAAGTGTGTGTGTGGTTTTTTATTATTCTGTTGTAGGTAAGGATATCCTTTTATACATATATTGGTTACTTGTACAGTCAGCCAAGTTATTTAGTATGCAGGTAAGAAAATAAAAAAATATTCAGAACAATCAGAACAGAGACAGTACCTAGCTATTGGTAGCCTGCTAAAAGAAAGTCAATCAACTGCCTAAAAATATGAATAGTTAGGTTTATAATAAAAATTTCATTACATCTTCATCTTGTTAAAGTACCTACAGTATTTGTTGACGTTTCAAAAGTACCAAATTATGGTTGAATTGAAATAATGCTTTGACTTTGATATGGGGTAGTCTCTGTTCTTAAATAAAAAATCCAGTTCCTACTATATAATTATTAGGAAATTCATGTACCTACCTAATGCAATTAACCAGGAATTAAACCCTATGGTCTATAATCATACTTTTACAAGAAGCATTAAAAAAGTGTTACTGAGACACAAAAGGATGTTTAGAAATCAATTGACATGAATTATGTACTTTAATAATTTATTTAAAATCATATTAACAATTCAAAAACATAGAAGAGGAACTAAATAATATTAAAAATCATTTTGCATTGCATGGAAAATTGTTCTGCGTAGGTTTTCCCAACCACTTCTTTTGGTTTCAGAAATTAGTTTCTCTTGTAATTTTTTTATATCATCCTCCAATTCTTCTGCTAATTTGTCGGTTTCTGTTTTATGGTCCATTTCCATTTCTTCACATCTAAAAGGGAAATCCAATATAATAAAGAAATGAAGTTTTTAATTATTTCAGTCATAATTTGGTACTTATTTCAAACTTTTTTTTCTTACTTACTGTTTTTTAAAGGAAGCATGAATATCTTTTAATACTTTCAGTTTCTGTCTATGAGCTGTGGTGGCCTGCTGCATACACTTGACTACAGCTCCAGTTAAATGTTCTAGCTTTTTTTCATTGTCTTTCATTGCATTACAATCTACTTCCAACTGCACCATCACTTCTGATAAGTTTTTAAGTAGGTTATTACTTTTTTCTTTCCTGTAAATGATTTTAAGTCATTTTTACTATTCTCTTTGAAGAAACTGCTAATGACATGATGTTATTTCAAAGTTACCTATAAATCATTTACCTTGTCTCTAGTTGATTGTTCATAACATCCAATATTTTCTGTCGTGATTCTTTACAAGCTTCTACATTTACGTCCAGCTTCTTTTTCTTTGAATTTGCTTGATATTGACCAATCAACTTTGCAAGGCTTTCTTCTTCGGTCACATCATTTTTCTGTCGTTTAGTAATTTTCTTATTGCTGACAGAATCCTTTAGAAACTGTGATTCATTTAGCAATTCGTTTAAATCCTCACTTAGAAATTTGGATTTTCCTCCTTTTTTTGACGACATTATTGATAGCAAATGTAAAATTTAAATCTCGTTTCCGCGTCAATTAGCACAAAACAGAAAACGCGAAAAATGTGAAGAACGTAATGAATTGATGAAGAGTGTTCCCGCTAAATTTTACCGCCCAAATTTCGTATTCGATAATTAAATTTTATAAAAAAAATACTGTTGGTAAAGAATTCTAAATTACTTCTAAATTACTGGCTAAGTCTTATTACTTACCTTGTATAAATTGTGCCAATTCTTTCTAAACGGCTGCTTGCCATGTTTTTCAAATTAAAGTTAATTTACTGGTTCAAATTTAATTTAATTAAAATAATTTAATTCACCAAATAAATCGTTCATACAATTTCTTGTTATAGGTTAGAATCCAAAATTAAAAACAATCACATGAATTTGACAATTTTGACATTTGACACTAAGACCGGACGTAATGAAAGTCAAAAACAAAAAATAAAATAAAACTCACGTAGGTACCTACGCGCAGTAACGTGAATAGGACAATGATAAAGGAGGCATTATTTTAATGATTGACTGTTTTATGATACTTTTGGAAATATGTTGTCAAGTATTAATAATAAGTCTAAGGGAACATTAAAGCTCTGGCCGCACTAGGACAGGACAAGAAATTATCCACATAGTTTTGTAAAACGAATAAAAGCAGTAGCACTAACGGTTTTATTGCGCGACGATTTTAAATACAATAAAATATAACACTGTTAGAAACGACTGCAGTTCCACCAGATCACCATAGCGGACTTTTTCCTCACTCCTCTGGATTATTGAGCAAATTATAATCTAGTCTTCGATTTTTGGATTACAATTCCTTCCCTACATTGCCTTCTAATGAAAGTATACCTATCTTGATAATTTATTTTAATAAATATTAGGGGCATGCAAATGCAAGGTAATATAAGTAAGAGTCATCACAATTTAGTATTTATTTGAATATAATAAAAATGACTAATGAATTTTTATGGGATAGGGTGGCCAGCCAGGGAAGCAGTCGGCATCACCTATGGATACATACAATGATATGACTAGATATAGCGGGTAGTCTATATAGTATTTTCATAGTATAAAGAACACAGTAGGTTATCTAAGGCCGCCCGCCGAGTTATTAGCCTACTCTTGCGTTGATCCCCAGGGTTGTCACTTTTACTTTTAGTTAATATTTTCGAACAAGCAGCACTTGATCTAAATTTATGAAATGAAAAGCATATTATTATTGAATATTTTATCAATTTATAAATTTAGTAAAACTAAAAAGCTTATAAAAAGATTATTAACTTCTTAAAATAAACTTTAGCTCTATACATAGTATTCAGAAAGTAAATTTGGGAATACATTTATATGGAAAAATGCGACACGGCCACGCTCTTAACAAATCAGATAAACTGTGAAATAAACAATACAATACCACATTTTCTTATAATATTTAAGTATAGTAGGTATTACATTTCTGGTTGAGTAGGAACTATGAAGAATGATAAGAGTAAGAATAAGTAAGTAGGTATCTCATCATCAAGTACCTACAAACTATATTATGCTAGGAAAAGTGACTAGCTTACCTTTCCTGTTCAATAGGTAATCTGAACAGAGACAGTTCTGGAATCGATTAATTATTAAGACATCCAAACACACAGCAATACGTTCTTCTACGGTTATCAGACATTTTTTATTTCATTTGCAACAGTGCCGAAAAGTGATGCGCGCGCGAACCTCGTGCAGTGTTAGCCCTGCCTGGCGCACTGAGAAACGGGTCGAGATTTTGTTAAAGTGTGCGTGCGTCGACGCATAGATACTATGGCGCACACATATAAGCCGCGCGCGGAGCATTTGTATGAAGATAACCTACTTTGTTCTTTATACTATGGTATTTTGGTTACTGAAAAGAGTAGAGAAAAACAACATTATTATAAATCATGTATTTTTCAAAATTAAGTCCCAAAACAACACAACTCATTCAAGGCATTCTTTTTCTCAACTTAAATATTTTTCATTGCTTATAATACACTTAAATCTATTTACAAGTTTAGAACCTCAATATAATTCTGGGAAGTATCAATTTTATTAAATATTCCTGTGCAAAGCCTTATTATTGCACTTAAAGCCCTTGCCCACCATCACTTTAATTTATACAATTTTATCAGGCCTTTTAGATTTAATTTACAATAGAAAATATTATGCAATTTAATAATAGTCCAGTCAAATTAGATCAAAAAGTTCTACTTTTTTCAGTTACGTAAGTTAACAAGTTACAAGAATTCGCATCCATTTAAAAATTGGTAAGATTGTTGATTAATGAAATTTCGTGCCTGGTTTGTAAATATTGAGGTAAATTACTTGCACTCAAGAAAAAGGACAAGAAGAAATAAATGAACGAAGAGAAGATAAATGAGACACATTAATGCAGCTGAACACATTGGGCCCGGGTATTGGAGCAGGATGTTGGGCCAAAATAATAGTAAATTGTAAATGTCCCTGTTTAATATGTTCGAGTAAATATTATTCCTTAGGTAGATCGGATTGATGATATTTTTTACATTTCATTTATGATGGTGTTTTACAATCCTAACAATTTTCAACATGTTGCGAACCATTGTTACCTTGGATGTATAAATTGACAAGACTATAAATATTCGATCGACGACAGTTTAGTGATGTTGAGTGAGGCTAAGTCCATTTCAGACTATAGAATCACAAGAAAATACTGTCTATGTGTATGTGAGATTCCACTGTCGGCTACGACTGTGACCGATGCTTCCTGAAACATCTCTTATCGGCTTGTCTTGTGAGAATATCAGACACGAAGTTTCTATGTGTAAATACACGAAGAATGTCCTCACGAGCTTCTTGTATTCCTTCACACACTATCTTACTTCTTTGAATATTACCCTGAAACAAATAAAATGTCGTGTTATGAAAAGTTGACCAAGCAAACATAATAATTAAAAAGGTTAATCATTTTTTAATTCACTATATTGTGATCATACCTTGAGTAACTCGAGTATCGTATGGGAATGTGGCTCAAGAGCGGATATCGCGCGTCCTGATGCTGTTTCGAGAGCTCGCAGTAGGCCCGCTAATTGCTCTCCAACGTCAGATTCCAAAGACATCTAATGAAAGAAAACAAAATATTAAAAGAATTGGAACTTAGGATACAAAACTACAAAAAGTAAGCTCAATAATCGATTTGTTGGTAGAATTCATTGTTTGGATAGAAATATGAAATGCCAAATGAAAAATGAAAAATTATATAACTTGTGTCGAAATACTCCAACGTCATTCAATTTTAGGTCGTGTTTAAATATAGCTCTGTCTCTACAAATCCTCTGTAAATGACAGAGATGGCACGATATTAAGGTACAACTTTCAAGATTCGGGTGTTAGAAGTAAAATCTGTAAAATAAGCTCATAGTATTGTTACAGACTGGTTGAGAGTAAATTGTAACAGTTAATTACCAAGTCATCCATCTGTGCAGTTAGATGATGTACTTTCCATCCCTCAGCACTGGTCAGTACGTGTTTCTGGCTGGCTATCGAAACAATATCTCGTGTGCGAGGTTCCCTTCGCCGCACGTCAGACGGCCGGGTGAAATGCAACGCCGTACTACGCCAACCGCACACGTAACTCGAACTTAATAGTGGACCTGTTACAATAAGAGATTTATTGATTTATTTACTGAAGTGTGATAAAGTTATTACTACCATCAATCATAGTTTCTTTTTTGAAATCTTTTTGTTCCGATTGCAAAGGAATAAGAGAAATAGTTCACAGAAGTCTACTGCTTGGAACCATTTATTTATTAATATTCAGTCATGTTTATCGTAAAAATATCTAACCCTTAATGGCCGCAGGGACATCCTTCCTTATTCTTTTCTTCCACTTTGGTTTATCTTCAATATCTGGATCGGAAACGTTTTTCAAAATACATAATATGGAAGAAAAATGGAGTTATTTTTAGGCACTGGTGTATTAGAAATACTTACGTTTTGGAGGGTTAAATGAGACTGGCGGTGGAGTGGGCGGCGGCTCCTCTCCTTGATAGTCGCATTGTCTCACTTCATTACTCAACCTGCAAAAGAAATATAGTTATGGGTCTAATGGGCCAAGTTCTGTTTTTGTAAACATTCACTTTATAATTATTTAAAAAATGTAGCAAGCAAGCATAGGCAAGTCTCGACAAAGCATAAAAATATAAAATAGACTGTGGAAGTGCACATACATCTGTTTCCGAGGTTTCTTGCGTGGACTAAGATCAGGGTCTGGACGTGGCGGTTCTGGCTCATCATCAGGTGCGGGAGAGGATGACGCACTGATGGTCGTGGAACCGCCCGAGCCACCGCCACAACCACCCACCGGTACATCCTCCCAGCCTGATCGACCAAAACTAGAGTTCTTGCTTGGAGACCTGTCCAAACAATTCATTCATATATTCATATGTTTATAAATCAAAACCTTACATGCTAAAGACATATAACAAAAACTTTGATGGTGGTTCCAGTCAAATTATGTTGCATAACAGAAGTTAATAATAAGAAACTAAAATAATTTAAAGTAAATCTTACCCATCGAGATCTCTTTTCCTAAGTATGGACGGTCTTGGCAATACTGTCTGATTTGGGACGGAGGACACTGGTATGCGGGTTTCTGGCGACGCTGATACAGCATTCACAACCGTTACTGTGTAAATCATTGAAAAACATTAGCAAATTTTAGTACATTGTCAACATTTTGCAAAAAATGTATAGCTAAAAATTATGATAAAAAATAAACATATAGTATTTCAGAAAAGGATGATGTCTATTGTGTATCAAAACCAATTTCATCAACAATAAATTTTTATAACAGTTTTTTCCTACAAACTGACCTTGAGTCTGCTGGGGCTGTGCTGACGATTGGTGCAGATACGGAGCGAGTGCGCGCGGCAGGGCGGGCGCGACGTGCGCGGGCGGCGCGCCGTGCGCAGAGTGCGCGCCGCGCGGGACTTCGTAGTACAGCTGCGTCGGAGCACTGTTCCCCACGACTCCACGGACACCCACGCTTGCTACACCAACCACCTGTGAAATTCATTTTAATATACATTATTGTCGTCATCTGCAAACCCTTCTGATTGAAAAAAAGAGGATTAAAAAAAAGTGATGATGAAAACTGATAGGTAATACTTGTTGTATAATAAAAATTAAATGCTTACTTGTCCTATAACTACTCGAAGTGTTTTATCAGTTCATTATACTGGTTGGGATGTAACTTACCGACACCTATGTATCGGAAGTTATTTTTATATCAAATGTTTACCTTAGCAGGTTGGTAGTTTCTCTGCAGTAGTGGCAGTGGTCTGGGCGCGGTGGCCGCAGGAGTTGGCGTGGGAGTACGCGGCGGGGCTCCGCGCCCTGCTGCAGAAATTACAGTACTTGCTGAAAACACAATTTAATAGTTTCCAAGTTCACAATTTTATTAAAATAGTTATACCTTTAATTAATTGGATGAATTTTTTATATAAAAGATATGGTACTTACAAGTTAGTACAGGTGTAGTAGGTAAGGTAACAACAGTAGAGTGAGTTGGTTGTGAGGGAGCTGGGGAAGAGCTTGGCGCATTCGCCCGTGCACCCCTCTGACCATACACTAGTGTACTACGTGGACCACGAGATGCCCCAGACCAGGCACCACCTGGGGAAACATATTATGATTGTAACTTGTGAAGGCAATAAAATAATGAAATACAAAGTATCTTATTCATGCAATATCAGCCTTGAGCAGTTGAGCAGTTATATTATAAATATACATACAAGAAACATTTAATTTCTTACTTTTAAAAAATTCATCTTGTTTTTTTTACCATCACCTGTCGGCGTTTTACTTAGTATTGCAATTTTAGTTAGTCTTTGAGGATCAGGGTAGGTTAAGCTAATATACAATGTTCACGAAAAACTGAATGTAAAACTTTTATTTTAAATATTATAAAGAAAGCATCATAATTATCTACATTATTTCTATAAATAATGTATTGTAATAGTCGTAATAAAATAATGTACCAGAAGTTGCTTGGGTGTTAGAAGCAGGGGTGACTGGTCGCACGGCGAGAGACGCGCCGGCCGCGAGACCGCGCGGCACATGACTTATATGGCTCGTCACGCCGAGTCCCACTCCTTTGCTAACCAGCACACCACTGGCGCTACTGACATTCACACTTGACAGAACAGCTGTAAAGAAATAAACATTGATTATTTATCTCACTAACAACTGAGACAATATTTTGATTTTATTCCCATGAAGGAATGTCTTTAAATAAACGCATCTCATGCAGTAGAGATGAGACACAAACAAGCCGCTCGAGGCCTCAGGAGCTGCCGAACCAACAACTTTAGAGGATAGTTCGTGGACGAGCGAAACATAAATCAAGTGTGGTTCAAGTGGTTTACTGCATGTTGTTTGTGTGTTTTGTGTCGCATCTCTGCTGCATGAGTGTTTAGCTTGTATGCATTGCTGCATACTCCAAATTCATTCCTTCAGCAGAATAAAAACTAAATAGTTACCCAGCTGTTAGTGTAGCATGGATTACTGCAAAGTAACCCCTGATTCAATTCCATATATTATTATATTGTTTTAGAGCTCCAGAGTCTATTTCACAACATGTAAGTTGTTGTTAGCTTAACTAACATAATTATTACACTTGTTTTGACACATTTTGTATGAAAAATAGAACAAAATAGTAAAACTTAATCAGGTTTAAGATAATTGCTATACTATCATGTGATTTTGCTTGAAAACTTTAAAAAAATGTGTTCTTACCTGGCCGATTATTATGGTGTGGCAATGGAGGTAACACTCTAACTGTAGGAGGCAATGTCCGTACAGATGAGTTGACCACCAGGTTACCAGCCCCACTGACCAGCTGGCTTCCAACATTCAACACTTGAGTTGCACTCACAGAAGAGGTTACACTTGATTGAACATTGCTTGATCCAACTGTATTGGCATTAGACACTTGGGCAGACAACTGGGTTCCTTGACTTATGATCTGTGTACCAGGACTTATAAGAGGGCCACTAGTAATCAGCTGCGATTGGGAAATCTGTGAGCCTTGACCAATCAACTGAGATCCCTGACTTACAATTTGAGCACCTTGTAAAATAGGTGATCCACTGATTATCATTTGAGGCTGAAAACAGTAAATAATTTATAAAGGTTATATCCATATAATGTTATGTACATCAACAATTCAAAATCACAAGCTGTCAGTTATTTGTATATAATACAAATAGATATAGACAATATATTAATTATGAATGGTGTTAAACGTATTGAAATACAAATTGGTTAAAGCCATATGCACTGAAACTTACCTGTGAAACAACATTCGACGCAATGATTTGTGCAAGCCCTGAACGCATCATTCCCGTTCCGGGGCTAGCATGGGCTATTATTTGACTTGAACCTGTTGTTTTAGCTGTACCCGGAATCAGATGTGTCATTTTCATATCTGAACTAGAAACACTACTTACACTTTTCACTATAGTTATTTTTTGAGGCGCTAAATCTATTGGATGCATTTTACTACTAAGTGACCTATCATTATCCAAATTATTACTCATTTTGACACTAGCTTTATCAAATGTTCATTATATAATAATTGTTAAATGCTTAATTTATGTTCCTGATGTTTAGCACGATCTTTACGTGTGCAGTGTAATAGAAACTTAAAAATAAAATTTCAATAAATATTAGATCTTCAATGACACAAACAACAGTGGATGAAAGATGGAACTAATTCACAAACAGTTTTTTTATGTGTTGCAACTAGGGTTTGGACCCTTGTAATTTCATCTCCATTTATTTTAGTAATTTGGTTTTTGCAATTTGTATTCTCTCTTAAATCCTTTTTATATTTATTTACAAATTAAAATGGATTTTAAACTAATGTGGTACTTTTTGTACTCAACTGCAAGTCAACTATCCATAAGTAAAACACATTATACATATTTATCAGAGATTCCTTTAATTTTTAAGTCATTTACACGTTTTATCATTTTATTTGTATTAATATAACTTTTTTTACTCAAAGTAAACTTTTGTTTGATCCTCAGCGTCAGAGCAAAGAATGGGCAATGGCACTCTGCGTGCCGTCAAATCTAGCGACACCGAACTAGATAGAATAAAAAATTTGTTTGTTTTGTTTATGGTACGCCATGGCGGATCGAGTTGGTGACGGTGATTTCTTGGACGAAAATATACAGAAATTTAACAATGAAAGGCGGAGCAGTAAACAATGGGTTAAACTTAATGTTGGTGGAACATATTTCTTGACTACGAAGACAACATTATCTAGAGACCCTAATTCATTTTTGTATCGATTAGTTCAAGAGGACAGCGATTTGATTTCAGACAGGGTTTGTTGAATTTCTTATTGTCTTTTTGTATGTAAATGAGTTTTACTTTATTTGACACAATACATATTTATGTACGTTTGCCTTCAGGACGAAACTGGCGCTTATTTAATAGACAGAGATCCCACATATTTTTCTCCAGTTCTCAATTACCTCCGTCACGGTAAACTGGTTATTAACAATGACATCGCTGAAGAGGGTGTGTTGGAAGAAGCAGAGTTTTATAATATTACGGAACTTATAAGATTAGTTAAGGAAAGAATATGTTTAAGAGAAAGGAGACCCTTAAAAGATTCTAAAAAGCATGTGTATAGAGTGCTACAGTTCCATGAAGAAGAGTTGACACAAATGGTGTCCACAATGTCTGATGGTTGGAAATTTGAACAGTTGATAAACATTGGCTCCCAATATAATTATGGCAATGATGAACATGCAGAGTTCCTTTGTGTTGTAAGCCGAGAATGTGGCAGTTCTCTGAACAGCAATGACATAGAACCTACAGATCGTGCCAAGGTGCTCCAACAAAAAGGCTCACGGATGTGAGCTTATCTTTTATGATTTAATATTTTTTGAGACTGTCAGCTCTGTGTGAGAAATGTGTACATATTTTTAGAGTGTAAACAGTCTGTATAACTTCTTCTTTCTATATTTTAAATTAATGTATAAATTGTCTAGAGTCTTACAATAACATTTGTATTAGTCAATTGAGTGGTAACTGTATCTTTGGTCCTATACTTCAGTACATCATAAATATATTAGATAAATACTCATTCTAATGAAGTGTGAAACTAAATAGGTTTTAGAAAATATGTACAAATGGGTGCACCAAAATAATAAGTGTAAGTGATGAATAAATATAGCTAATATTAGAATATTTTAGTTTCATCACATTACTGCAACATAGGATATATAATTATTTACTGCTAGTGGCAATTTTTAATCTTTAGATTTATTGCTTTTGGTGCAATCAGATGTACATTTTAAAATTACCACATATTTCTTGATCTTAAATTTCTTACGATGATGGAAACTGATTATTGTATGTGTATGGATTAAACTTTTGTTTGAGTTATGGAATCTTTTAAGACCTCTTAGATTTGTATTATTTCCAGTCTTGAATAAGACTTGTGAAACACATTTCATCAAATGTGTTTTGATTAACTCGTCGAGTACCGGTTTTATAGACACAATTAAAGAACAATAGGTCGCGGTCACCGGTGACCGCTTGGTGTTTGACGGATTAAATCAGTAATTAATTAATTCCAGATATTATGCTCATTTACCAAATGTAATATTAGATACTTACGATTCCAAAGCAGTTGTTTTATTTTCAAAAAATACTCAGTAAAGTTGTTATCAATAAATAATAAATAAAGTTGTATGTTGGTGATACCTTTATTTTTACTGAATACAATTGACTGAAAACGTAATATGATTTGACACGCCTTCACTTAAAATTATTTTTAGTATCTAAGTTAATTTCATACCTACACAATATATAAATCTATAACACGTCATTTTAAAAAAATAAACATTAGCACTATTTAAGAACATTAAATTATACAGCTTATTATAAAATATTGCATTTAACTGCATTAAATACAAGTTAACAAGAGGATCTGTATTACTAGAAACTCTTTGTATAGATAACAGTGTTATTATCAAAATACAGAAATCTTCACACACTTTGTAAGGCAATGGGGTTTCTCTAGTTGTCTATTTAAATATCAGAAATTATAACCTATATTTAAATTGGTTGAAACTATTTATAAACTAGCACCAATCTGCCATATAAGTAAAGTCATGGAACAACTTGTGATCTGTGGCAGAAAGCGGTCGTGGTTCTTTGGGTGGTGTCAGCACCGCTGCCTCAGATGTAAATTCACTGTCAAAGTTGCTGACATCTTCTAAGTTATTGATTGTTGGCACAAATGGTGGTTTAACCTTACGCAGTAGTAGTTGCTCCCAGTTAACATTTCGGAAGAAAGCCTGTTTCTTGACATCTTCAGCATCCCTCTCTGACGATCCCAAGCGTCTTTCTGGATTTTTCCTCAGTAAGCGACGCATCAGTGCGATAGCTTCTAAAGATAGTGTTCTAGGGTAACGAACTTCGTCGTTAACAATCGAATCAAACACTTCACCTTCATCTTCTCCAGGGAAAGGTGATTCACCAACTAACATTTCGAATATTAAAACGCCAAGGCCCCACCAATCAACTGCTCGGGTATACGAAGTTTCAGTTAACACTTCGGGGGCAAGAAATTCTGGAGTGCCACAAAAAGTGCCAGTACGATCTCCCCAACCCATACCTTCTTTACAGAGACCAAAATCGGCTATCTTGACATATCCCTCAGTATCTAACAGTAAATTATCTAGCTTTAAATCTCTATATATAATGTTATTTTCATGTAAATACTGCAGGCCTAATACTACACAAGCTGCATAAAAAACTGCTCTAGGTTCAGTGAACACATCAGCATGTATATGCATCATCAGGTCACCCCCAGCTGCATATTCCATAACAAAACACACATGTTGCTCAGTTTGGAAACATGCAAACAAGTTTACCAAAAATGGATGTCTAATTGCATTAGCTACCTCAAAGATTCTCTTCTCAGATAGTAATGAATCTACTTCATCCCTCGCTATTATGTCACCCTTCTTTAAAGCTTTTATTGCGAAATATTCATTAGTTGGTCTGTATTGAGCAAGAATAACTTTACCAAAGTGTCCTCTTCCAAGAACACTTAACAATCTAAAACTGTCCATAGACATTTCGCCTGATTGCCTTCTGGTATCCTGTTCTTTACCTAAAGTATCTATTACAGATGATGAACGAGAAGATGATATTCTCATATTACTAGTAATCTCAACTATTTGATCTTCATTACTTGGGAATTCTAGAACCAATTTAGGCGAGGGTGAAGGTGGATACTCCACTAATGGTGTATCACAAGATGGAGTCTGTGGTTCTTTTGTGACATAGTTATCCCTTGTATAAGAATCTTCTAAAAATGCAAATGCTTCCTGGAGTTCTTTCTCCATTCTCAAGGTAGAAACATTAGGAGGTGGTTGAACAGGCAATGTGGGCTGAGGAGGGGGTGTCCGTGGCATTTGTGGTGCAAGAGGTGTGGAAGGTAAGCCAAGGGGTCTAATACCTGCCATGCCACCTAAGGTTACATTAGGATTTTCAATTTCTCTGTTATCAATAGAAGCTGATTCAAAACTGTGTTGTTGAGCTTGGCTTATGTGAGCAGTCTGAATGTTTTGGATGGAGGGAGATGAGCGTTTCAGAAGCCTGCCTAATACAACAGCAGGAATGTGCATTTCTCCATATGAAGGTCTTGGTATATTCTTGCCTTGTTGCTTAATAATCTTCCTTTGTCGCTGTAGCTTAGGTTTTCGAGATATGATGGGATTAAGGAACTTAATTTCAGCAAAAAGTAAGCCTTGCGGCTCCAGTTCCAGAGCCATTCCATGTCTTATATCATCAATAAATTCTTCCAATCTTAAAACTTTTACAGCACACAAACCACGCCAATCTTTCCAATGAATACCAATTTCAAGTTCTCTTGATTTATCTAGCTTGATGGTGAATCTGGAAATTGCAATAAATAAATAATTAGAAACCCATCTGTTTTTATTAATATTATGTTTGATAAAGTGATAAAAGTATATAAAAATATTCTAAAGGTTTCTGTAGGAAATAATATAAATGCTTTATACACAGTCATTTTTGTGTACCCATAAAAGAGTACAGCATTACTTGTAAAGTAGAACTTTTAGTCACACTACAAATATGTGTACGGCAGATAGATAAGATATGAGTAATAGCAAGGAATTACTAAGATTGTAATTCAAGGAAGCCCAGATACAAAGATAAGTTCAATTAATATTTTGTTATATAATGCAACAAAAATATAAGAATTTATCTTTGGGTGTGTGGCAATCAGGCTTCATTCTCTTTATAATCAAAGATATTAAATTTATAATTACTTAATGATAAGTAGTATGACTTTAAAAATGTATTAAATGAACCAAAACTTAGAGGAGAAAGTAAAATTAAAGTACATGCCTTTGATCCCATGCTTGTTGTGAACATGGTCTCCAACTGGTCTGTGCAACATGGTGGTTGTCGAGTTTTAAAACTGCCATAATCTCATTGCTTGTATCTTCCTTAATGCTGTATGTGTACTTCATAGAATTACGAATTGTTACTCCCTTAACAAATGACTTTAAGTCTGAAGGGCTAGCGGTAGGATCACGTCGACTTCTACCAGGAACATCTTCAAGTAAATCTTGACAACCCATCAATCTAACTTCTAATGTACCAGTCACTTGAACACAAGGGTTGATCAAAGGAGCTGGAGATAAAAACTGTGCTCTAGACCCACTACTGCCAGATAAACTCACATACCCAGGGCTTGAGGCTGTACTACGCAGTTCATGTCCTAATTCTATAAATGCAGGGCTTTCACTAGGAAGCTCCTGTCTGCGCATATCTAAGGATCTGCGTAGTAAATCTAATTTCTGTGATGATTCTAAAAGGTTTGTTTGGGCTTCTTGTAAAGCTTTTTTGTCTGTTACCTTCTTGTCACTTTGTAAAAGTCTTATGGCATTTTTAGAGCCTTCTACCACGGCTGCCTCAATCCTGAGACGGTTCCTCAATTCAGCTATTCTCTCATCTAGTAAAGCAGCAATACCACTTTCAGAGCTTTTACCATCACCATTAGATCCTGCATTATCGCCTTTTTGTTGTTTGGTTAGTTTAGAAATACGTAATTTTAAATACTCTATCTTGTCCTTAGAATCTGCTAGCATTTGGTGAGCTTCAGCAAGTAATTTTTTGTCTCTGGATTGATTGCTGCTACTGATACTTTGTATCATATTTTCAGCTCCTTGTTTAACTTTGAGCTCAATGTTCAACTGTTTTTCAAGTGATGCCAACTTTCTGTCTGTTGTTGCTTCACCCAGTTGCCTTTGCTGCTGAGCAGCTTCTGAAGCCAGAATAATCTCCTCATCATAAGAGAGATCTTCTGGAGAAGTAGGAGTAGACTGACCACGAGACAAAAGAAGCTGAGACTCCAGTTCTTGGAGGTCTGACTTAAGTTCATTAAGCTTTATATTAGCTTTTTTGACGATATTGGCAACATCGGAGAGTGATCTCCTATCAGTGGCCACCTCCCGTAATTTCTCAGCACCTTCTTTTATTTTAAGTTCTTTACGTATTTCTCTACGTATGACATCTTTAAGCTCCTCCAACTTAGACGGCAGTGCTATTTCTGGAATACACTCCGTTTTAATTCCATACTTCACGCCGAGTTCGTGAAGAACTGGGTGTCGAACGTAATCACTGTGGTAATAACCTGGCTCTGCCATAATTGAGGATGCACAGTCTAACGTCAGTTAACCATAATTATGTGGGAAAATATCACTTTAGTATTGCTTGAGGATCACAAAACGTCGATCAAATCCTTACGTTTCACAACGATAACAACACTCGATACTTTAAACAAAATCATGATAAATGTAAAACTTGATCGTTTTTATTAAATTAATCACAAAACAAAACAATCTATACAAGTGAATCGGTCAACGAAATCAACGAAACGATGAAACCCTACCATTATTCCATGGACAATTTTATTGAATGAGTTATAAAATCTGCCATAAACTAACTTGGCTTTTGGCACTTTTGTTTGAAAGTTAGAATTCCAGAGACTAATTTAGTAAAGTTAAAAATAATACACAAAGTACGCACTTGCATTTTAATAGCGCAATAAATATAGATATAGATATATCAATTAGTATACTTCCATTCTCGGGCACACGGGATTACAGGGTCTTGGACCTTTGGAAAACGCACGAGAAGCCGAAACCAACTCGCAGAAGCCCATTGAACTATTTTCATCTAAGTGAACTTATGAAATGATATATCAGCCGGAAATTATTCCCAAATTCACCCAAGGACAATCACCGGTTCGTGAAGGACAATTTGTGCAATATGATGAAAAAAAAATTATGTATCTGGAATGCTTATAATGGACTAAAGTGGATATATGGTAATTAACTATTGGAATTTGCCCTTGACATACGGATAAATAGGCAGGGGGTGGCTGGCAAACTCAACTAATGAACTAACTAAATTGTTCGCTTGATAAAATTGACTTGTAAAAGTGCTGCCTTGTAGCCTATTTGCAGAAATAAATTCACTTGTTTCACTGGTAACTACTAGCTACTCGGGGGCAACATGTTGAGCTGCTTCATGCCTGAAGAAAGAGAGGCATCAAGAAGAGGTTTCAGAAAGAAATAGTAATATAAACTACAATGTACTTTTTACTAGCATCACTAAGAAGGAAGAACATCCCTATTGACAATGTCAGCAGTCAAGAGCTGCCAAATGGGTATTTTTTATCTGTTTGTAAGTTCCGAAAACTCAGTTTTAACTTTCACTTCCTTTGTACAAAAATCTTCTAGTAAAATAGTTTTCATTCAACACGTAACAATCGACTATATTATTTAGCTTATTAGAATATGTTATTGATATTAATTTAGGTTTTAATTCATAGAATTTACTGGAAAAACGACGATCTGTCAAAAGGCGCCAGTTGAAAGAAAGAACCTATCATCTGTCTGTCACACTTACGAAAGCTTGGTCATCCGTTTTAATGGAAAAATAATGCCCGTAAAAGTTGATATAACTCCACCGCCTCCAGCAAATTCCAAACAGCCTGGAGTGACAAAGTCCCTGCTATATAACGGATCCAAATTTCAAGGGCACCAGAAAAGCAAAGGTAACTCCTATGAAGTCGAAGTGGTTTTGCAGGTTAGTAACAAAAACAAAGTACGCAATATTGATAAAATTACACATTTACGGAAAATTGCAAGTGACTGTGTAAGCTTTTTGCACATTAAGACAGTAGTTTATATTTTTAGACCTCGTAAATCAATATCAAAACACGTTTTTTCGTAAAATTTTATGGTGGAGAGTGTGCAGTGTAACTTTAAAACTAATCATTACTTTCTCATTTCAGCATGTAGACGAAGAAAATTCTTACCTTTGCGGGTATTTAAAAATAAAAGGTTTAACAGAAGAATTTCCCACATTGACAACATTTTTTGATGGAGAAATTATATCTTCTAAATATCCTTTCCTCACAAGAAAGTGGGATGCCGATGAAGATGTTGATAGAAAGCATTGGGTAAGTGTTTAAGAGGTGATGTCCATAATACACTTTGGTATGTGATCTTGGACGAGTCTATTCTTACAAATATTTAATAATTTTCAGAGCAAATTTGATTTGTTTGTACCCTACTTAAAGACATTCAATTCGGATTCGTTTGATTATGACTCTCTCGAAAAGGCTGACTATGTGTTTATGAGGTGGAAAGAACACTTTTTAGTGCCAGATCATACAATAAAGGATATAAATGGTGCTTCATTCGCTGGTTTTTACTATATATGCTTCCATAAGTCTGCAGCTACAATAGAAGGCTATTATTACCATCGAAGTTCTGAATGGTGAGTACTTTTTGTGATATTGTTACTTTTTCCAATATGAATATTATATAGGAAAAACCTGTTCAATAGTAAGAAAGTAATAATGAGCTCAGCCCTAGGCAGTATGTCTAATAAGAATATTTTAGAGTCAAAGAACTGTATGAGCTATCAAAGTGAGTTTAGGTGTCTGTAATATGTACTGTACTGTACATATAGCTAGATTTAAAGTATGTTTGGGATTAAAATTTGTAAAACCAAATATACTTTCGATCTTACCTAGGAGTTTTGATATCAGATGAACAGGATTTGCTGTAGTGGTAATCATTTGACCACATGGTTCGAGGTTAAAGATCACAGTCCATATTGATTAGTGATAACTTGAATATCCAATAACTAGCACAAATTTTGCTAAATAGTTTAGTTAATGCAGTATGCAGTAAGAATTTGTGTGTGACCCTAATAGTGTATTTTGTCTAATTAGACATAAATATGTTGGTATCAAGAAGTTTCATTTTGGCTTGATGCCATTTCTTATTTATATAAGTTTAGAATAGAAATGACTTGTACATAATAGTACTTTGTGCATTTTGGTGTTCCATTTTTGTAAATAAATAAAATAATAATTAGTGAATTTTGTGATTATTTTCAGGTATCAATCTTTGACATTAAGCCATGTACCGGAACACAGCATCCAAATTTATGAGTTTAGATGAAATCACCATGTGAAAACTTAAAAATTTGGATTGGTATTTTTGTGTCCGCTAGTACTTACTTGTTCATTAAGTGTTAACTTCAGTCAGTATCCAAAATGTGTAAAGGTTGACAATGTTGTGTTACTCCAGTAATTTAAGATAAGATGTCTGGTCTAAAATAAAATAGTTATTCATTCAGAACAAAGGTAATTCAAAATGTAATTTTACAAAATGATTCAAGAACAACATTGTGTCATAAATCTGTTTTTGCACATACTTCGGGATCAAAGAATGATACTCCAAGTGACGCCTGATTTTATAGAAACTACGCTTTACTAATTAATTTTCCATCAAATATACTTATTTTATAGATTTAGTAAAAAATAAGTTTATGTTGTCATATTCATTTCTAACTTTTTGCCATAGTGATTCAGAAACTTAATATTAAATATTAATTGTAATTATATAATGTGTTAAGTTTCTTAATAATACTATGTATTATTATTGTGATATTTTGTACAAATGACTTGCATGTAAGTTGTTTCTATTATTTGATCATCATTTTTGTTATGAATATTGTGTACAATAGTTAATAACAGTTACCTACTTCATTTTGATTGAAGTATGTGCAAGTACAGGGAATCTCGTTTTATTGAACAAGTTAATCATTTGACACCTACTAGTAGGAACTATTATCAATGTTATTGATAAAAATTGAATATTTTTTTTCAATAAAACATCTTTCAATAAAATTATGTTTGTATTATTTCATGATCCAGGTAATAAAAATGCACATATCAATTTGATTTCCATTTTAATGTAACACATTTACTATTTACAATAAAATACTGGCATTGATAAATTTATAGTTTTTATGTTTCATGAAATATCATCCAGTGAATAAGCAAATTTCTTAATTTTAATATAACATTTTAAGACATGATATTTATTGACTAAAATCTTACCATATTTGTACAATAGTCCTCACGTTTTTTCAAAATTGATTTAGTAAACTTAGAATTTATGCATTTTAAAGTAAGCATTTCTCATAGTACAAAAACAGGCTGTTTGAAAAAATAAATGTAGATGAATATGAAAATTTTGAAAGGTATGTTATTTAAAGCAAGATTGAGGCCGTTTTTGTACTTAAAGCAATATATTATATACTTCAAACAATAAATATATTGTGTGATGCATGGTTAGTTTCAGCATTAAAATAAATTCTAACCATCTAGTCAATTAATACACTGGTATAGATCTTAGATAAAGAAATAAATGTTAAGTAATTGTAGTCAAAAGTTTATCATAATTATCTAAAAGGCGGTAGGTAAATGTCAAAAATATAAAGTTAATTATTATAAATTGTTTTTGTAATTGTCACTTAAAAGGAGATATTTTAATTACTCCGTATTTTTTAAATAAAATAAGGCGAATATAAAAAGTATTTGATAAACTTCTGACCTTAGAGTAAGTGTTCAGATATATCAGTTAGGCTCAATGGCTGCTAAACAGGTATACAAAGAATGAATTTACTTACTACCCATCATAATTGATTTTAACACGTCTGCTAACACACGTAAATTATGACAATAATTTTGAAGAAATAAAAATGTGAAAATAATAAACATGTGCGGATTTTGGCACTTAAAATTTGTATTAGGTTTAAAGGTAATCTGTAATATGTCAAAATGATTGGTCACCTTGAGCCCAACAACTATTTCTAGATAATTATAAACATTAATTTGATTATAAAAATACATTTTATTCACCTACCTTAGATAGTTTCGAATAGGTACACAGTGAATTATTATGTGACAAAAAACTAAATACTTAAACTAAGCTTTGGTGGGATCGTTAATGTGTAATAGTGTAATAGTTCGGTAATGCAGGTATTACGCCCTTACGAAAGTACAGAAATGTGAATGTATTTCGAAATGCGAGTACTCTCGAATCACGGCTTTCACTTGGCTATATGTCGCCAGTTACACAGTTATCCAGCCGATTCGAGATAAGAAAACTTATACATATTTAATTGATTATACATACTACTAGTGTGGCAAGTATACACGTGGCCAAGTATAAACATAAAATATACTTAATGCATTCTGCGGAAGTACATGTTTTGGTGGGTTTTAAGTGTCCGATTTTGCATTTAGATTGTTTGGAACTAATAATACGAACAAATACCTACTAACTATATCTACACACATCATAAACACAAAACATTGAGTTAGGTTACAACTATCAACTGCAACGAATACTTAGTTTCTTGAAAAATAGCGGCAATTACATGCCGCTTCTTTTTGAGAATACTTAAATTAACACTATTAGGTAGGTATATTTTGCGATACTTATTAGGTACGAAACATCAAACATCTACAGACAAATACATTCACAACGAAAAATTTATATAAAAATATACATCGAATAAATATAAGTCGAAAATTATCATCAATAGAACAATTTACATTAACATAATATAAAACAACGATAATACTATAGCAAAATAAAACACTTAAAATTAGAAAATATTTACAGAACTTAAAATTTCTAACAAAAAATAATAACTTAATTATGACTGTAATATTTGGCTTTGAAATAAATAGGCTAATATATTGAAAGCTATGGATAAAAATGACTTCGAATTGAACAAAATAGGATTTGATAACAAATTAAATAGTTGCTATCTTTCAAGTAATTAAGTAAGATAGAGATTAGGCAGGTGCCAATGTAACATGATGGTGAATATGTGGTTATAGTATATTTTCATTTGTCCCATAGCTTCCATTATACGTCGTCGGGTAACATCGAATTGTCTAATGTAACAAGAAGCAAGCTATCTTTTTGATGTCCCTTCACTACTGAACCAATGTCTGAGGCCAAGGAGGCTGTAGAGGTCCTGGTTGTTTGTGTGAGCTCGCGTTGGGTCGGCGTGGTGTTGGACTGCACGATGAATATATCCCTTCAGTTGCTCTGGGTATGCTGGAGGTACGCCCGCGTATCCCGCATGTGGGTAGTTGTGTAGCCGAAAGTTGTGTGGATACGAATGATGATGGCGCCGAGGGTTCTCGTGGGTGTTATACACACCACCTACTTGATTTCGACCAGGCCAGTAATCCTGTAAATGTCGGAACGGATAATCTGGTGGAGGCGTCGGAGAATGTTGGCCTTGCCAGGGATATCTGTAGTAAACCTCATATTTTGGGAGGAACACATTATGCGTTGCGGTCTTATCACTGTAAACCATTTCAAGCGGTGTATGAACAGGCGCGGTACGAGCTGGTTCCCTATTCTGATCTTTTGGCCTATTTCGACGATACTGAAGCTTAGTACGGGTACCCAGAATGCTGTCCTCTTTCATTAAATTGTTATTTTGTTCTTTGGTAAAGTTATCATCAGTAGTGACATCGGCATATCGACTTATTAATTTGATAGCTTCGCCAATATCAGAATAGTCACTTTCGGGACTGAGTTTGCTTTGATCTCCATCTTTTTTCAGAACATTCGTACTTGAATTTATACGTTCAGTTTCGGCACTTGTTAAATTAGACGAGTTTACTTGAGCTTCATTAACAGAAGTTGCATTATTTTCAATCTCTGTCAAGCTGCTCGACGCTAAATCTTCTATAGAATCTGTTTGATTTTGATTTTCTGTGTTATAAAGAATGGGGTCAACGTTAACGTGTCCATAAACTAATTCTTTTTGTCCTTCATCGGTAATATTGCTTGGCGATTCAGTTTCCGTTATATTGACGCTTGAGCTATCACGTTTGGGTTTATCAGGATAATTGTGCGTCAGTATATTCTGATTTACCAAATATGAACTATCAATGACTGCTGTATTGTTCGGATTCAATGTATTTTGAAGTTTTAAGAGTTCTAATTCTGCTTCTATGCTGACGTCGCCGTCTGCTTTATTCGTATCTTTCTTGTCAACTTTCATGTAGTTCGGTTGTAGTTCTTGAGCCTAGAACATAAAATATATTGTTTAAGACATTATAATATTAAAGATTACAGAGGTCTGTTTCATCAGTTTGTAAAAATATTTAACTCTTTTGCCTACCTGTGAAGATGGCTCTTGACCTTGAAGTGGTGCTGCTTGTGGATCTAAACCAATGGGTATAGAAAGTTGCAGTGGCCCAGGATCAGCATCTCCGTAGTCATAGAGTACATCTCCACCAGGAGCTGAAGTCACAAACCAAGCGTTCAGATGCTCCAGTAGGATACGTTCGTGTTCATCTTTGTTTACTGTCACCACCTGAAGAGTTAGATGTAAGTTTTAGTCACCAATAGCTTGGTAGTCACATAGAATAATATAGTTTTATTGACTAGGATATTTATTATTTATGTGTTTAAAAGACGTTGGGTAGTTTTAGAAGAGCTTACCTGAACACAGCCATTTCTATCGAGTCTCTGTCCTTCGGGACAATTGAGAGGCGTTATAAACAGAGATTTAGTGGTTATTCTTCGTGGTGGGGCATTTTGATTGTTGCTTTCAGGACTTTGGAGCCAGGACTTCCATGCGAGTTCAGCGGCTTGTCGGTCGAGGGTGCGTGGCGGTGGGCGGGTGGTCGCCACAGGCGCCGGGGCCGGCCCCTCCGCTCCGGGCTCCGCCCTTACTAGTGCACTCGACACCAGCAGTAACGTCGTCCACGTATACCACATCGCAAACACCTGTAACATAACACATCATTATTGGTATTTTGTGATAAAATACTGTTGACATTGTTAGATATTTTCTAAAACAAAAAATGGTTTATTGTATTATGAGTTGGAATTTTAAATTCAAACAGCTGTTAGAATATCAGGAATCTGCTTAGAGGTTAATCCCACCTGTTTATTCTACTAAGCTTATGGCAGTCCGTTGACATGGCTGCCACAAAAAAGATAGGCAAAGCTAATAGTTGCCATGCCACTAAGCGGGTTGGTGACCGCGTAGTCAGTACTTTTCGCACCATTTGCGCGTTCATCACTATTGATTGTATTCTTATTAAAAGTAGGAAATGGCGCAAACATTCATAATTCATAACACGAAGATTAATTACAGTTTCCTTAGTCATTTCAAGCGTTACAATTTAACACAATGTGGTTCACGTTCAGTATTAGTTTTTGATTTCCTATTGTTCGCGAAAAATAGAATAGTTTCTAGAGGTATTTCATGTTTAGCCTTTTAAAGCATGGGAACTCTCATCAAATCATGTACCTAATTGTCATCAAGGACTGAAATGGATCAAAGTGCAATATCAATGATTGTTCAGTTAGTACCTACAATAGCTGTGAGTGCGTAGATATTAACCGAACCTACACATTGGTCGTTTGCATAATAAGTCGGTTCCCATATCTATCTAGAGTCCATGATACGTATTCTAGGTACATACCAACCGTCATATTTTTTTTCTTAAAATATGATTATTAATTTTGTTACCCAGGTGTCTAGCTATGTGCTGTTGGTATGTGGGTTAAGTACAAGGTACATGCTCAGAAACGTTTAAAATAGAGTGCAGCTCCACAATTAGATTGCTGTGTTACATGTGGCGGATATTAAAAACGAATCTTGGTGTTAATAATCTACAACAATCCATCAACCTTAATTGTCTGTGGACCAAATAGATCCGTGAATGTGAATATCATCTGCGAGCGACCTTGAGGCCCTTTATCATTGGGAAAGTGAAAGTGTGTTAATCATAGACTATTATGTATAGACACTTACGCCTTCACTTTTAACTTGCATTAAGTTATCGATAGGTATGTGCCTTCCCCTGTTGGAAGTTAAGTGCATATTTCGAATCGATAAATAAATTAAGTATTTATAATCGATGTCAATTAGTTGTAGTAATTTTACAATGTTGCTACGCGTGTGCTAAATTGGGTTGGAGATAATTACGAAGCATGATTGCGACACTAGGGCTTAAGATTCTGGTTTAAAGTAGGCCAGTGCTCTCTTCTCATAGGTAGTTTAGACCAGACGATCAGACGCGCTGATTATAGGGATGTGATTTTATTTGATGATAGTGCCTATTCACCATAGTTCATAGTATCACAATACATAATTGTGTCTTTTGAGTAATAAATGAGAAAGCGAGCGAAAGAAATTACTTACACATGTAACATTTGGTTGAAAGCCACGTAAATTTTGTATTTTTTGCACGGACATAATATGTGGAGATAGAATTTCTAAACAAACATTTTAGAGTTGGCCATCGACAAATTGTTCTGCATTGAAATTCTCAGAACGTTGAGGAGGTAGGGATACCAATTTTGCATAATCTTTTTAAAAAATAATGAAACAATGCTTTAGCTAGTCATAGCTAGTGTCGTTACTTAGTTGGACTTATCTAATAGTTCATTATTTTAAATACTTTGTATTGCGTAAGGAACATTTGTAAAATGTGTAATACATAATAGTAGTTAGATGCCTACTCACATCAAAACAAACATTCTAATCAAGTGTCTAATGTTCATAAAACTAATGAGAATGAAAAGTTTGTAAACAACAAGATTTTTTTACCAACAGATTTAAGTACCTCCCTAATATTTTTTGTAATGGTCCGGGCTAGAACTAATGAGGTTTGTCGGACTTTTCAATTAGATACATAGATAACATTCCTATTAAGAAAACAGATAAAATATGGGTGCATCGGTTGCTGAACACAGGCGCGTTGTTATGAACTTAGTTTTTTTAGATAGGAACGTATGTATATGTCAATAGGTACGTATTATGTATTAGACTATTACGTCTTAGATAAACAAAATGGATATTATAAAGATATTGGACACTTTAAACTTGACCTTACATAAAGGTTATGAGATAAACCGCCATCTTTTTTTTAATCCTTTTACAAAAGCATAGACACAAATATTGAAACGTGTTCCGTGATTACTGTAAAATAAGAATTTATTTAAATTGCAGATTACAGGGCACTAGATTGTGAATATTATGAATTACCTGTGATTGAAATAAAAATCGGAACGAAGACAACATTCTTTCATCTATTGTGGAAATTGATTTGTTAATTAACTATTGTGTTCGATAAAGAGGTCTTGATTAGTCTCATTGTGCTGTGGGATGGGAACTTGTGAACTATCACCACCTTCTATGGTGTGCATGTAGTAGGTACTGTTAGTTAGATCGTATCTACTAACAAGTGAACTGATAGCAGAGGATGTTTCCAAGCAACCATTGGAGCATTGTGATGTCGTTCTCAAGTCAGCGGACGCATTTCATGTAACTTGTTACCATTATATTATACGCAGTTTAATTACCCACTCGTTTCGTAAGAATAACACGTGCGCAGGAAGTCTCGTCTTAGAGATAACTTCAAAGCTTATTTATTACTTTTGTATAAACGCAACGCGTACCTAAGTAATTACTTTTCGTTTTACTTTGTTCCTGACCTAAGGTTAAACGTGGAGTCATAATAGTACACCGATCTCTGTTACTACACAGTCAATTGAAATAAGTGCAAGCACCTTTAGCCAGTCGTTACACATGTAATACAATTACATAACACTGGCATGTAAATGACGTTTGTTTGTTTATTGTGCGACAATGTTGTCCCTCCAAGTGTTAGTTCCCTTGACCCCGGTTGAGTGAAACGCGTTTATGGTAGATCTGCTGTACACTCGAGTTAATAATTTAGTGCGCAAAACAAGGGCAATGGCTGTTGACCCCGTCGCGATCTATTGGCGGCATCTGGCAATGATCTCGCATCAGGCGCCGCACGCGCACGCGGAAGCTTCTCGCGGGAATTGACCGTGTTTCAATGGTGCTTGATTGAAGCATACTTTATACTGCATTCTCTAGTGTGAAAAGGATTAGAAAGCGGGATTAAACTCGTTGAATGCTACTTGGGATTTTCTCCCGACAAATCTTCGGCGCGACGAAAGAATGCAGCGTATGCCTGGGATTATGAAGTTAATGTGCGTGTCTGACTGCGTCTGACCTAATGAGCACATTCTGTTTACATAAAACAGATACACGTCGGGTATTCCGTTTGGATGTATTATTATCTGCACGGACCAAATCCTCGAATGTTGAACCCTACCTTGACATGCATGCGAGAGCGAGACAAGGCAGTTGCGGAACAGAGGTGCATCGGTGCAGGGTTGCACACAAATAGCTTACCACTCGCAACTCAAGTGTTTCTGACAAAGATTCTTCTTGCATGGATATAACTTTTTTAAATCATTTAATCATGTTAATTTCGTACTTCTGTGGTCCTACCATTAAGGTATGATTCCTTTGTATTTAATTACTTTGCTTTCAACGGTTTTGGGAGTTGCAAGAGGAAGTGTCACGGTTGGTACACCACCCTCACAATAACTGGCAGGTGTTTCTTCCAACGTATTGTGAGTAACGAAAAAAGCGATGATTTGAAACCAAGATACTATCCTAAAAAATAATAAAACATTGTTATTTGATTCGAAAGAAACAGCTGTGTTATCTACACCTGCTGTTTGACAGGTTTTTCTTTACAGAAATAAAACGTGAAGTAGATGAGATCGGCTGATAATGGAATATGATAGTCTTATTATTGGGTATTGACTATTAAATATTTTGTGAGATATCAAAACTATTGTATGTTATACTTGTGTATCAAATATGCATACATAAATATATGTTAGTATTAGGTACTTAGTAAAATATTCTAGTCATAACTTCATAATTATGGCTAGACTAGAGCCATTGCGATATTCGTGACGTACCAGCATGTGCTTGATATTATCCATTATATCCATTGTTTAATAATGGCCATACGTCGACGAGAAAGTGTCCCGCTAACTGGTCAAACACGATGTCGGCCAAATTTACATATTAGGTAACTGATTGATATTCTACGCGAACAGGATATAGGGATAATGCTTTTTGACATTTACCGCGAATTTTAACTAACTTTAATGACCATGAATGACGAATATTAATTTTATGTATGACATTTAATCTCGGTCCCATTGAAATAGTCCCTATTCAGTCATACCTACATAATTATATTTATTGGAAATTAGTTAATTAAAGTTCCGTTCGGTTGAATGGCGGCAATTAGCAGTTGTTCGTTATTAGATTTTCCATTGCCACGAAATCGTGTCAAACTAAAAACCCGCTTTAATGTTGAAAGCAAACTTGAAAGGAGTTCGTTGTAAGGCTTTAAGAAAATATTAGGGAACACAGTAAAACTTGAGAATGTGAAATAAATAGACGTATTTGGTATACCTACCTTAACAAAATTGCAACGGTGTATATACATTGTTTGAACGAACATTGTTGTGGCAATCGTTTGTTTAAGGAAAATTCAAACATTTCCGGATGTTGAAAATGTAGAAGCGGTTTTTGTTTGCGAAAAACTGCCTTCATGGAACATCGGTTAATGGAACGTAGCGCGAATGAATGGTCACTAACTTATTATTGGCCAGACTGTAAGAGTTTCTTGAGTATTTGTTCAAAGACTGTTTTAGTATGTTCCATTATATTTGTCTTTATATATTATCGATGTTATTTTGTTGTTGTGGAAACTGTGTCCTTTCTTAGAGTCGGTTCCTACCCTGATCCTGATTTTGGAGAAATGAGAAATTTGACTAATTAATAAGTAATTGAGATTATGTGCGTAATAATATGAACCATTTCCTTGAACTTCAAACATTTCCTTTGCCTGACATCTTATATTGGTATTTGATCTCCGTCTGATATGTTATAAAAATACACTAGATTATTTATTTATTGTGATCGCGTTTCGACCGCTAGAGACGACTAGTTTGCATAAATCCTGTTACACAGTTCTATTACGTCATTCTGTTTTAAATACGCGCTTCTTTTGTTTAAGCAAGGAAGCTTTTGACACCACTAATTTACCGTTATAATCGTTTGAGGTAAACTGTCACCAGTCACGACTTGACTAACTAATACTAATGAGCTAGACGTCTCCTACCGCTTAATGACCATGTCAACTCCGAACAATGACAGAAATGTTTAGATATGTGAACGTGTGTGACTGGATTATCATGAGATTTTATACCTTTTTTGTTTTACAATAAGATTGTGTTTTATATGCGTATTATTTTTGTAAATCTATCGTACTTTCTAGGTGTTTTGTTTACGAAAATATACTCGAATATGTATTGAGATCTGTCAGCAAGCATTACGGATATTATAAAATGAAATGATGTTGATGATGATAACATTGTTGCTGTAGATGCGACGTACAATCACTTTTAAATATTGCATCATTCTACTAAAACTTGGTATTTGCCTTCCTATATTATTTTATATGCGTGATACATACAAATAAAGTTTTAATTAACATGCATATTGCATTCAATGTCAATGCTAGTTTTAATTACTGTTACCCTGTGGCAAAGTAAGAAAGTAAATTGGTCAAAGTTATCCGCATGCAGTGCATTGAGTCAGGTCAAGTTAATTTATATTTATTTATATTTAGTTATGTAATCAAAACCTGTTCATAAATGAAATCAAATTCCTTATTGACACGTCGGAATTTAAATAAATGATCGATGTAGAAAGTAAATTTATTTCATCTAACCTATAATGCGTTCTGGAACGCAAGAGTTTTCTTTTAGTTTTGCCAATCACGTCACTATAAAGTTAGCTCGACTTGCACCTTCAATATTTCAGACAGCTGGCCAGAAAGCTGTCCTGTTTAGTTCTGCAAAACTCTACTATAGTTGCTACTTCACGATTGTATTTGATTTCTGTTGCCAAGTCCCGCCTTATCAGTTTGTTTATTTTAGTTTCTCTCATTTGTCTCTTGCCGTTAGGTAGGTACCAACCCTGCTCGCCAGACAATCTTCCTACCACAGAATGAGTTATTTTCGTTTAGCCGCCGACATGGAACAAGATCTGATTAAAAATTGGATACTCAGGGTTGGCCATGGCCACCCAAAGTAGCCATAAGTACTATAATTAATTATAACGAGTAAAAATACTGCCGGTGTTTAATCCTGTTCAAGTGCTTGTTTGGGACCTGTTTGATGACATTTCACTTCCAGTTTGTGTTTAGTCTTCGAATAATACTAAACATGTGGGAGAGAGTCACGTAATTATTGAGTCAATACACTAAAAATATCGTAAATACTAATCTATCAAAATGTCGGAGTGTAGGTCGTGTCGTATTAGATCTGTTTGCACGTTTCGGCACACAATGATGTGGTCCACACAATATCCATTCAGCTCGATCCTTTTTGTAATTAAATGTATTCGGTCACGCTCAATCGTTTGGCCTATAAAGTCAGGCTTGTAGTAATTGTGGTTCGGTTTTGCAGCTGCAAGTTTTGTCACTCTCATGGGCAAGTGTGTCGGTAGTTGAGAGCGACCTACTGACTGCGTGGTTAGCATGTGCCGCGACATTTCACTATCGTTCCTACATCTCGGCTACATTTCGGGTATTGCTGCAAGGTCAACGTCTCTATGTTACGTGCCCCGTACACCTATTGGTGAAGATTTTTTATTGTACACCTGCGTTTAGTTTTGTTGCTAGGCAGCGGCCGCGATCGTGATAATCGTCTAAACTGAGTTTATATTTATCAGTTTAGAAGTGTGGTGTGTCTAATGCGTCAGTTTTCTTAAGTTTATCATTATCAGCATGGATTACATCATTTATATCTTACTAATTGACTTCTATATCGCCAGTAGATTAGCAATTAATTTAATTATCTACGTTTTCTTTAGTGACTGCGGGATTTATGACTGTAAGTGCAAAGTATCTTGTGACTTATAGTTACTGTAGCAAGATATGTGTCTGTTTAATGCTAGTCGCTAACAAGTCACGTGTATGGGTACCATATGAGACAGTTGTAAAACCCCAGTGAGACATATTTTACTGCACATTATTACGAAATGTCTGTTGTTCGAAAGTTATTACCACTAGGATTTCCATTTCATTAACAAGGGAATTAAACGTTGAGTGGAATTATGCAGAAATAATACAGTTAGAGTGCATGAGTTTGTATAATAATAGCAGGGTGTCACAGACATTTAGATATAAATTGCATTAGGTGTCATATTTAGTTAAGTACTTTTTATCTTCAGTTTTAATAATTGCTTTACTCAAAACGCAGCTTGGAACTTGCTCTGTTACAACTTCCAAAGTAGTTTTTTCCTTCCGTATTTAGAAGCAAATGTAGCTCATCAATGTCCAAAAACAATTAAGTGCACCTAATCCAAGCTGCGTAGTACGCGACGGCCTCAGGCGCGCAGCCGGCGATGTTTATTTATAAAAACGGCCCATTCATCTCCCTCTTGAGCGGCTCCAATACGTTATGAACGGTAGATCGATGATTTTTTATTTGGTTTACTGAAAAAATCATTTGCTTCTATCCAGCCAATATTACAACCTTAACAGCACTTGATTTATACACTCGATTCTATTAGTTGACTTTCGAATACATGTTATGACTGGCGGCGCAGGTTTTTAATTAATTTTTTTATGTTTCCAGTTTATTGAAAATCTCATAATACACATATCGAAACAAATCGCCGCCGTTTTGAAGTAAATATATTGAAAGTGTTAAAAGATGATAAGCATGGTCTTATTTATAAAAAAATCTTGTAGCGACGCACTCGTGAAGCTTGAAACTTTTACAACTTTCTCTGCCGGGCTCCAGGATTGTAAAGGGCGTAAGACGAGTTTCATTACTACAGAAGTAGGTACAGATCTACTTCTACTTAATAAGTAGGTACTTTATTTCCCCGGGCTCCGCGTTTTGCATTATCCACTATACAAGTGATCCCCGGCGTATCTACTAGCTCGTGTCAGTATAGGGCAGCATAGCCTTCGTGCGACATAGCGTTCTAATTAATGGTTCTGAATTTCTTAAACGGTCGGATGGACGTTGTTAACGAGCGTATACGAAACGAAATCGCATTCAACGTACCGAGACGGATGCGTTCGGAATATAATCTTTGTATTTTTGGAAGGGAAACGGTCTGCTTTGACGGAACCGGCGGCGACAGATTTCGCCCGTGAATAACAAATAATATATCACGCTCGGATTCATGGCCGTGGGTGAAGCCGCGCCCTGCACAATGAGTATGCAGACACAGTCCCGCTCGCAAAGGTTACCCGAATGCGTTGCCATAAGACTCGTTTTAATAATATCATTCCGATATGTTTTTGGTACGACTAGCTATATTTAAAGCCCTTTAATGTTTTTGTTCTTTATTTAGGGTAATAACCATAAATCAAAGGGCCGCAAGTGAATCCATAAATATGAAGTCGTATTAAAATATGACGAGGTACAGCTACGCACTGAATGGATAATAATTTTTGATATTGTTATAAAGTTTTATTAAATGAATTTCTAGATTTTATCGTAGAATCGAACCTCGGCCGTGAATGTTCAGGTAATTGTATCATCGTGACATTTAGCTCCTGTGTTGGTGTTGGTAGTTACAGGCACGGTAGTGCGGTTGTGACCAGTGGAAGCGTGCAGTAGTATGGAGAGAGGAGGCTCACCTTGAGGAGAGACGCGCGTCGTCGTGCGCCGGTCACATTATAACGGGCGCCCGATCTCGTCAGCCGCAGCCCTGCAAAGAAGGAACAACTCATGTTAAATCCTGTATGATTACAAACTTTTCAAAGTTCTAACATACCTACCATATTACTTCTGTGGATAGAACAAAGACAAGATATTATGTAAATAGCGCAACGAACATTGTTTTCATAAAAAATGCACCTATGTTGAAGCTAAAAGTCACGTTCTGAAGACCATTATTTACATCGAATTATAAAACAGTGATTGAAGTCAAGACTATAGAGATAAATGAAACTTCAATAGTTTTAAATACAAGCGGTAAATGTGAGATAGCACCATTGTTTGACCTCCAGCCACTACATGAGTTTGCATAAACAGTAGGGGCAGGAAGCATGCTTATTATCTCAAAAACTTTATAATTTAACCTGAAACGTGAGAATTCAAGACGTTAAAGGTGGGTTGTAGCCTATTTAGAATACGAAATTTATTATAGTTGTCGCCATTTTTTCTTTGTCGTCTGCATTGTTTGCAAGAGATTTTGTCGTTGATAGCGAGCAGTGTAGATTCTGATAGCGTTTCTTGTTGCTGGCTCTACACCGAGAATGTCGCGTGACATACAGTCTGAATCAACGAAGTTACGATAAAAGCTCATCACTAAGTGTATAATAAATTTAACGATACGCCATATTGATATAATGTAATGAGTCTGTTGCTTCAGTTTTCACAGACATTATTGCTGTTAAACATCAAAGAATACTAAAGAAGTGTTTTAATTTACAGTTAAATTAAAGAGATATGTCCCTACTACCGTACGCAAATAAGTTTAAGTAATAAACAATATTCCATTTACATACAAAAAGCTTTCATAATTAAATCAGATATGCAGAATTCAATAAAAGAAACGTACCTACATTTCTATGGGAAGTATTCTTCATAGCGTTTGTATGAGATATGTTTCTTTCTGGTTGGTAGTATCAGTGGGTAACAGTAATTTGACATTTAATATTCGTGTTACACTATTTCTATTGGTGACTTACTGTGTTACTATTGCTTCAATACCTAGTTAGGTTATACATGCTTTATGTTACCTGGATAACAGTTGAAAGTTAATTTGTATCTTAATGAATCATTTACTTAATTAATATACATATTAAGTAGTAAGTATCTATTATAACTCCAGAGACTTGTATCGTCTGGGACGCTTTCTAGTAATATCTGTGATGTATGTTGCGCTCAGAATGTCGCCGCGCGACAATGTTGCTGCGCCGGCGCCGCGCAGCCGTCATCGCACCGCCGGCACACAAACTGCATGAAAGTGGACCGGCCGAGCCCACGTCCAGTCCACTCTTAAGTAGTATAGCCCAAACTAGTCCCTTTATGAGCTTTTATGAAATATTGTTCCATTCTACGTGATCATTGCCATGAATCAAACACTGACTTACTTAGTCGTATCAAGTATCAAAGTTTCTAATAAATATTAGGCTAATGGCTTGGCTGGAGTCAAGTAACCCATTGAAGTCTACGAGAATAAACATACGATAGCCGTTTGAGTCATAGCTGCAGTCGTGTTTTGGCTTTTAGCAGTGTGCGTGGATGTAGATATAGATTAATTTCATGATTATGCGTAGTATGAGCGCTTAAACCGGGAACAGGTTGATATTAATTACACAAAAGAATATCCCATACAAAGAGATTAGCCGTCAGTTAGTAGACAAAGAGAATGTCAATATTGGTTTGTATGGACGGTAAACACTGGACGTCTCGGGCGACCGACTCCCGAGAATCCGACCATGTTCCGTTCTATATGTACTCATTTATTATGGTGGCTTCAATTGTTTCAGGAACAAAGACTGCCTTTCTTTAGGCTTTTATGGTACAGATTTACACGAGCTATCACATGGGCATGCATGAAACATTCTTAGGACAAGAGATAGAAATAGAATCCGTAGTGCAGCACTTATATGTATAAAAACAGATAGAACGTTTCGAGAGCAATGACGGACTAAAAGGAGCGTTCGCGAAACAATGAAAACGAGTGTTGGGTACGATTCATTCGCAACATTCCTGTGGAATAAAAGTAAGTGAATAATTCAAGTAATAACAGTACAATCATTCCCAGGCATGAGCCGTGAAAGCAAAACATCGATGCCGTTTGTTTCTAAACATTGTGTGCAAATTTTCTGTCGATAAATCCAAATACGCGAACTCTGATCGTCAGGCGTTTGTGGTTTGTCATTATTGTCATTGTTCATTATTGTCTTTCACCTGGAACTTTTCTTATATTCTGGGAAAGAATTCAAGGAATAAATACATTATACCAATGTGGATACATTGGTAGCCACCGCAGCACTTTAGGGGAAGAAATTGTTTGAAACTAAGTATGTTTAGTTAGCACCACTCAACGTGTTACGCATATCTACAGAATGCTACAGAATTTAAACACTTGCCTAGATAGGTTTCCTAATACAGAACAAGAAGTGAACGAGCTACATATAAAGTAAGATTATGCTAATAAATATCTGCACAATTACTCACGTTTGTTTACAGTGGAATACATTTTGTATCACGTTCTGTTGTATGTAATCAAATCACGTTCCATTAGAAGAAAACATTCACAAAGTTAATATTTTGGTGGAACAGAAACAACTCACTCTGTAGAAGATATTTTTTATTGAATATACTTGACGGCAGGCTCCTAATGTTGTCTTGATGTTAAACAGTAACACTATTATTTGCAATAACAATTTGTTATGTCCACACTCAGTAAACAGTTCCTTCCGTTAGACAAACACTTGTAGACACTAGTGTTCAACCTGTTTACCATTACATATATAAATATTGTTCTTATTTCGCTTCTAATTCTACTATTTTATTGCTTTACAAACAGACTAATGTGTCCGCACACGTCACGCGGAGAGGAGCAGTGTGGGTGGCGTTCCATACAAAAATTTAATTGTCAGAAAATAATTAATTGTATGATAAGAGTTTATGAGTGCAAAAGGTTGCAAGATAAAGTCGTGCTTATTGAATAAATCAAGAAAAATATATAGCGTTGGTACTGGACTAGTACTGTATTGAAATGAACGCAGCTATGTATGCTAATGATGCGTGCTGGGCAAGCTCTAATGTAACTTAACTTCTAAGTAATCATTATTTTACTAGAAAAGATCGGGTCTAGATTCTAGAGAACGTTTATACGTGCTTAACTGCGCGATATTTAACCGTGTTTTTCGATAAATTAAGTTGAAATTAAATGGGATCATTACAGAGATGTGTGCTCTGACTCGTACCTTTATCACTTGACCTAAACATTAGTGACTTATTTGTCGTTGTCAATTTGTTATCATCGTGGAATCCTTTGTCGATTACGATAGAAATTATTTACTAAACAAGTACATTGGTGTGGTAATGCGTACAATTGTTTTTCTTCAGAGTTGAATTGACGAAATAAATATCGTGTGAAACATTAGGTACAAGCTTTAGTTAATTTTTGCTCTACAGTTTGAACATAAAAGTGTCTTATATTGGTCTTATTACAATAAGGCCAAAAATAAATGATTTGACTTTGACTTTGAATAATTAAACTGCTAAGTTTGTACTATCTATTCCGCCGGTGGCCCGTGTTGCTCTATGATCTATAAACAATATGGTAAAAATTTAAATCGCCATTTTCTTTGTTTTTAAAGTTCTTAATATTTATTATTCACTTTAAGTAGTTATTACTTAGTGTTATCGACCATAAAAATATTTCATAAAAAGTTTTATTCAGAACTTGAAATCGGTAAGAGGGTGTAAAGGTTTTATGGAGTGATACAAGTCGTATAAATTTTGCTCGTGTAGTACTTAGCTTTTACAATGTTTTTTCATGGCCAGGTTAAGGGAAAATAAAAGAAGGGCAAAGCGACACAATCACAAATAAAGGATTCAGAAATATCTCGTTCTCCGTGCACAATTTTTGACAAGTTTATGTAAAATGTAGACCATATGTAGGTGGACTGTTTAGGTTTATTAGTGTTCCTTAGCACTTCTCTAACACTGCACTTTCGATCCATGTTTTACGATTGTAGTCAATAGTAAAGTCAAATAAATAGTTTACTGGCAGCCAATAGATAATAACGTCCAAGACAACATGTTTTGAAGTAGCGAGTTCAATGGTTTACCAGTAGAAGTACGATATTATCTGTTAACTCGTAAACGTCTCAAACAACAGTTAGTTTGTAGTACACGGTGTACTGTTGATTGTTCAGCTAATTGTACTCTTGTACCTTGGGAGGCTAGCCTAGAAGCTAAGCGAACTTGCTTGCCTATATAACTTAGCTTGTAAACTCGTTAAGAGGATTTCTGTGTTGGTTATTTTCAAGATTTATGTTCGAAAATATTTCCCGTTCTTTTGTCTCATCCAAAATGATATTTTTTTTAAATACTCTCCTAATAGTGTTGCTCTCGTTGGGAAATATGGGAACTTCGCATGTATGTTCACATGCGAAGTTCCCATATAAATTTTTCGCTGTCATCTTTGCGTGTTTCAGTACAAATTTGTCCGCTCGAGTGGACACAGAATTAGGCCATTTCTCACGGCACTTGAACCTCTTATAGGGAGCAGACGGTCGCATTTGAATCAGACTTTGTTTCTACATTCCAAACAGATACGTAAAGTGCTGCATGTTTATTTAAACGCGACGTTGTATTGAACAGTGTTTACTTTGCAAAGCGCGATCCTAGGCTAGAACTAAAACTAGTCAGTTAACTATTCATGAAAGTTGCTCCTGGCCGAGACAAGAATGCCAGCTGGCGCCACCTCGCTCCGCTAAGGACTTGCTACAAATACTAACTATATAAAATCTCGTCTAACTTCGCACACTCTTTATACTTATCGAATAAATGTTATATGAAACGTTACAAAAAAGCTTTAGTATTAGATGCAAAGCTTCGATAAGCTCTCACATGAAAAACTTTTATATAAAAATTAACTGCCTAAGTGCGTATGGCTATGTAGCACTGATAGCTATAAAATAGATCCTGGAAAGGGTTTATGATGCACACGAAGACATG